CAAGATATTGTATAAAAAAAATCCCTAAATTGAAAAATCCATAAATCAAAAATCCCTATTTGGTCACCAGAATGGGTCATATTTGCTTTACTCACCACAAGTGTGAATATTATGTATAGATGTGTCTGTGGATTTCTATTTGTGGTAAATGATAGTCACTCAGACAGAATTCAAATTAGAATTGTGTCCAACAAAATCCCAGTCAAAATTCTAATTTCGATTTTCACCAAAAATATTCTAATTTCGAGGGTGTGGATGTGTGGTTGCGGGTGCGGGTGCGGATATTGATGGAGAGATTAACACCCACACCCACATATATATTGTATTCTTTTTACTAGTACAAGAAACTTATAAATACAAACAAGTAAGCAATAGGATAGAATATAGAGAAAGAGGAGACGGCTGTCGATGGTGTTAGTTCGTATGCATGCTGAGAAAGTCCATTTTCGAATAAAATCCGTAGTGCACTTCGAGCTGTAGTCAATGTATTGCAATGTTGGCGTGCGCACTCGATATTGATTGTGCCAAATGCACGCTTGTCATCTAGCGTCGTTAACTCGTTTAAATTCACTTTGAGAGAGTTAGAAGTAAGTATATTGCAAAGCCGATTGCTAGTCTTGTTCGTATTGATCTCGAGCAGACAAGTTAAACATGGACTAACAATCTGATTTTCTTCATTGCCTTTGTAACATTCAATCATTTTGGTGGTATTGTTCGGTTCAATAAGATCACGTATTTGAGAAATAACTATCGGTGCTATAGTTGACACCGATTGCATAGTTGCAACGATGTCACGAGCAGACTCGAAAATATCACAATCAGCACATTCGTAGAATGTATGCCTATTAAGAGTACCAGTCGAGATGGTAACATCAGTTTCGACAAAGCACGGACGAGAATTAGAGATGGTTGGCGTGAAATAAAAGATTCCAATGGTAGTTTGTCGATTAGAATAGAACGTTACACTGACAGCACAGAGCAAACTCGAGTTTCTTGTCACGTTACAGTTGGTGGGTCGCTCAAGAACCGTGTTGAATGGAATTTCTTGATTGCATGCTGAATAACAGGATTGTAGGCTGCTCACAGCGGGCGTAAACAACAACATGAGCACGAAAATAAAGCACATTGCTATGTGCGTAATGGAAATTATTCTACATGAGTATAAGGATGTTGCTCTGTCTTATTTATGTTTGTCACAACGTTATCTTGCGGTATCTCTCTTTCTTTAGAAGAGAACGGTGTGCTCACCATGCTGGATGCGTTTGTCTCGTCATCATGATAAGCAGATGATCGGATACCACACCGAAAGTTTATGTTATAAAAGATATCTCGGTATGGTCGTGCACTTGCACATAATTATTTAGTCTGGTGTTATTCCAGATTACTGAGCGTCTCTCAAGGTACCGAAGTTTGCAGTTTCTTCTGCTTGAAAGAAAGCAAAGAAAACTCCTGAACGAGATCTAATATTTAAGAATATGTAATTATATCTTAGTTCAAAGTTTTTCTCGAGTATTAACAGCAACCAGAGTTCTATCGGCTGACTGCACGATCCTAACTCTTTCAGCGTCTAATTTTTGCTTGTAATGATACATGCATTGATCGAGTGACAAGAATCTGATTGAAATCACCGAATATTTTTAAACGGAAGTCATTTCTGCTAGAGCAAATTCTGTTTGAACAATGCATAGTATGATGTCAGTGCGCAGTTAAAATGTAAGAAAAGCGCATTCTCAACGTTAAGATCTCGAACAAACAAGAGTTCACTTTGAGTGTGAGAATATGGTTGCAGTTCTGAGATTTCAGTTGAAGGAGGACAACAATACACCCACCCACACCCTGAATACATCTTTCACGTGTTGAAAAGGGAATGAACAAATTTGTTCTTACACAGCTTGTTTGTCTATTTTTTAATAACAAAAATGATGCTACACAATAAAAAATTCCCACATGTCGAACTCGGGTATTGTAGAGACTTTTTTCTTTTCGATCACTTTCATTGTATCAAATTGTACGAGAACCATCCAGTTTCCTGCTTCATTTTGGTTTTCATTTTCTTGGTGGATCATAAATAGTACTTGACGAACTTCTTCATTAAAAACAGCCTTGACCGATTCTACCACCGACCCACTACCCGTTTTCAAGAGGAGTGTCTCATTTTGGAACTTGCTTGTGTATGGATTCATGTAGAGCATGACAAGATCTTGATCGATTGATCCATGTTGCCATGTGGCAAGCACGAGTTTCGTCTTCATATCATAGGTCATTGTACAGAGATTGCCAACATTGGGCAGTAAATAAAATTCAGTAACGATATCTTTTTTCTTACCAACAAGGTTCAAATCCATTTTAATAAAATAGGCGTTCACACCGCCACCTTCGTATCGCGTTCGAACTTGCACAAGCCAATTTTCATCATAATCAAACGCTGAGCACCATGCATATGGAAATGCATATTTCTCACCGTCTTGTTTGGTATACACTCCGACCACATCCAACGTTGTCATGTTATACTCTTCAATGATGAGTGTAAATGTACTGATGTCACGCAATCCGAACATACGTTGACGACGTGGGTCATAATGAAGGAAATGAAATACTCCATCGTTCAAGATCCATCGACTCTGCCTGTATATTTTCTTTTGCATATCGAATGCAAGTAACAATAAACGTTGAAATGAAGTGCCACATTGTAAAGGCATGTAGATTGTTGCGGAACTGTAATTGGTGACGGCTACGGGTCCAGCTTCGAAATAGTATAAATCCGTTGTGTTGTCGTCGATTTCAAATGAAAAATTTCCGTAGAATTGAAATGCAGATGATTGGGGATTGTAAGAAAAAATGCTTCCATAATGTGGAACCCTATAATCAGTGAAAAAAATTTCAAATACGTTAGTCATAGATCAATTTCTATACCCTTGGAACGGTGCTATACCATAGTAGCCAGTTGCTGATGACAAAAGTGCGCCGGTACAGACAAAAATGAAGAGTTGAACGACCACAAATTGTAGTAGATGCATCGTATCAAAACTCAATTATGTTCTCTTATTGTTGTCTTGTCATTGATGCACGTGTTCTTATCTAATCTGATGAATATAGATTCCTATCGTCATGATAAGGGTGTGGGTGTGGGTGAGCAGTAAAAACCAACACTCACATCCTCAAGAAAGAAAAATAGGATTGTTTTTGAATTGAACAAATAAATGTCACGTAAAAAAATAGTAGAAGCTTTACTTAAGGAAAGAAATATTTATTTTTAATTAAAACAACAACAAATTTCCTGATAATCTCTCTGTATGGAGGAAAATGAATATCATTAGATTATTCTCTTCTACTGATTTGAAGATATTACGTAGAATCATTTCATTAGTCTCTATAACGTACAATTATAATAATAAACAGACTATTCAGATACAAGGTTTTTTCTATCATGACACGTACATCATCAAAATTCTCTCAAAAATTCAAATTAACTAAATTATCATTAATCATAGCTGATGTCTGTTTAAACAATTAATGATCATATTTTTTCTTCTATGTCTTCATTTCTATGAGACCAGTATAAGTTCATCGTTCACACGAACACTTTAACACGTTCAAGAATGAATAACGCATCAATTGAATCATTCACATTTCATCTTACAGCTTATACTTCATATATAACGCTTATTTTTGGTAATATCGGATGTATATGTAATTCTATAGCATTTATAGCATTTACAGCTAAACAGTTCCGTCAAAATTCTTGTGGTTGGTATCTTCTAATGTCGAGTCTATTCGGTTTTCTTTTTATTAATTTCTTTTTTTTCCACAAAATTAGCAGCTGAACACTATGGAAGTACATTACGACATAGAATTCTTATATGGTGTCAGCTAGGTATATTTCTTGCATGGGTATTACCATGTTTTTCAACAGGTTATCCAGTTTTGGCATCAATCGATCGATATTTATCAATATCAAAAAGTGCACGAATTCGTTCATTTAGTCGAATTAAAGTAGCCCATCAAATGACACGTGTTCCGCTTATTTTATATAGTCTTACTGGTTCTCATCAATTCTTCTAGTTTAATCTTCGACCGACTTGTTCACCAGCACCGGGCACCTATGCATTTTTCTTATCAATCTATAGTATTATTTGGTCTAATTAAATTCCACAAATTGTTATGTTTATATTTGGTTTAATCACATATTTTAATGTTCGAAAAAGTCGTCAACGTGTTGTTCATTCAAACATACAACATCGCAATCGAACTGATTCACAAATGATAAAAATGGCGTTCGTTCAAATTTTATTTGGTTTCGTATTGGTTAATATTCGAACAATATATTATGCATATACAGTACTTACAACAAATATGAAAAAAGATGCTTATCGTCAGGCTATGGAAACATTAATTTTACAGATATCAAGTTTTATTTTCTATTTCAATTTTAGCAAGAGTTTCTTTGTGAATGCTTTGATGGGAAATTCCATTGTAATCCAACTGTAAATAATTATCACGTCAAAGAAATTCTTTTTTTTTCAGTATTATTCTATCAGTTATTAGGTCTATTTATAGAAAAATAAATAAATAAAATGGTCGTAACCCGTCCACGTCCTTTTGAATTTTTTTCTATTTTTATCAAAATCTCTTGCTGGCCTCATTCCACACGTATACAGCACGCCTCATTTACCTTGGAAATGCTCTTGAAAATTATACGATGCTTCCAGTCTATATCAACGAGTTATATTTTAACAAATCATGTTGACATAAATATTTTCTTATCATTGAATAACTTATTGAAAAGATCATTTGATAAGAGAAACCAAAAAGTAATGGAGTCATAGAACAGTGTTCAATATATTATTATAATCTGATGACGAGGAGACGTTGTATTTCACACTACAGCCACTTCCGCTGAAATGTTACTCAATGAAAATGGCTCAAACTGCTCCAGTGACTCACGCCCTCCTCAATGTAATTCGTAGCAGTAGCTGTTGTTTACTATTAGTGTTATCCATCGTAAGCTATCTTTTCATGTGTGCTGAAAATGAATTATTACTTGATAATGTCCGATGATACGGTGTGTTCTCTTGATAATTGATGACAAAGTTGATAAGACAAGTTGGTCGTATCTATCCAATCGAGAAATTAGTTGATGTGAAACAGGAGATTAGAATGCGTCGAATAACGACACTTGAAAGATTTCTTTAAGAATTAGATTTTCTCATCAAGACCAAATATTTACGTGCTCGAATTGTTTATTTGAAGGATAAAACATGCCGAGAAAATACTGACTGGCATTTTTTCTTCAGATCACAAGATCCTATTTAAAGTTTTACGATTGATCCGCAGAACAAATCATATATGTTTTGCATTTTTACTTTTGATGTCTATATTTCGTAAACACAACTGATCAATTATTACCTTAAGTTTGCCTCTAAATTCTATAAATATAATTTCAGTCGTTACAATCGATTGAGCATGAATTGTGTTCACTGTCAATTAATGATACGCGTATTGAAGAGTACATTTTTTGGTTGGCTTGTCATGTGTAGAAATCCACTTCTAATAAACATTTTTAGCTTATTTTCCCTGAAGAATACTTTGATAATTTCTCAAATTTTGACATATATGTCAAGGTGATTGTTTTGAGAGAGAATAAAAACGATTGGTGCTTTTGTTAGACCTATATATTTAATGTAACCATCAATATGCAACGTACAAATTAAAAAATTATATTAAGTCAACAACAAAACGAGAATGATCATCATCATCATCTTCTTTTTATTTACGACGATCATATAATTTATTTGCCCTCATCTAATTGACTTCACTCATATAAAATGTATTTTTATTGAATCTATGCCATGTTTAATTAAAATCTAGAAGAAAGAGGCCATACATTTATAAAATATTCTAATAACTCAGTCGAACAACTTGTTCCATTGATTGATGAAGCAACAACTCTCGTACAGAAAGCGCTCTTGTGGTTTTCTTATTCATAAACCTTAAAATGATGTCTATTTGCATTTATTTAAATTAATCCTTCGAGACATTATATACAATATCATTAGCAGTCTTTTTTTTCTATCGAGCAAATGAGGAAAAAAACAGTTAACTATATATATATATATAACATTTAATATAAAATAATTGGCATTATGTTGATAAACACGAATGGAACTTATCAAAGATAACTTTCATATATCAATTCTGACAGACGATAAGATCTGCAGTTATCATAGAAGAAGAGAAAAAAGCAACTCTAGTACATTTTGAATTAGCGATGATAGACTAACGATAGTACAGGATGTTACAAAAAAAAATGAATTTTTCTCTCTTCTATCATAAGCCTTGAGCAATTGATTAAGTTTAACTGTCTATTCCAACGTATAGAGACACAAGATAATTATGAAAATTTTTCTTCTTGATGAATTGTCATCGCATGGCAATGAATGTTCATGCACGAATGCAGAGTTCAAATATAGTAATACCAAATAGATTAGGAATATATCATATTCTCTAGAAGGAAATTCATCTCGTCTCGAAAATGAGAATGCGTAGGTGTATCTCTCGATGTGTGCAGTGAGTATACACATGCTGTTAAGGAAAAATAAGTAACTTTTGTTACTATTGCCGCTATTTTGTCGTTTAGATTTAGAGTTCGGTTCGGTAGTCGTGCTTTTCTACTTTTTTTTCTTCTCTGTTAGAATTCCTTTCTCTATTTTCCGATCGTCCCATGTAGCTGGTTGTCTTTTCTTTTTTCTTTCTCTTTTATTCTTCTGTTTCGTGTTCTTCTTTTGCTCGCTTGCATTTGATAGTATCACGCAAACACTGTTTGTTTGCTGAAAAACTCAATTCTTTCTCTCTTTCTTTTTTTTGTTTCTCGCTAACACTTCACAACAATTTCTTTTGTTAAGACATAGGAACATTATATTGTCGTTATGAGTTTTTCTGGTTCGTCTTTCGTTATTATGCATTCTTGGTTCGCTTGTTTAGGTATCTATATTCTTAAATATATATACACATATAATCAATTAAATATAAACAAGTGCTTATAATATATGAGTGTGCCCTTTTTTCTCATTTTTTTTTGTTCGTAATCATTGATGTAAATGACAAAAAAAAATGTCAAATATAATTCTTTTCTTCTCGTTTAACGACAGGTGAAATTATACTTACATTTCAATTCATTATTGACAAAGAAAGACCAACTAGTATTCTGATCGTGCTTTCCGTGACAGTAAGAGGATATATTCGTGTATATATATATATATATACAATTTGTTATTTTCCTATCATGACATGTCTTTCGTGTATTATGATAGATATATTATATTATATTAGTATGAAAAAAAGAAAACGGAAATTTCAATTTCTAGATGAATAAGCCATTATTGCTCATATGACTATGATCCGTAAAATTAACAAGCGAATATTTCAAGCAAATGGCGATTGTTGTCGAACTTTTATTTCTATTCATTTTCTCAACTAATCATCCTCATTCTTCATATTTTATTCATGCCGATTCAACATCATGCCGTCGACAAGTCGAATGTTTTATATGTGATTCACGTGAGATAGAAGCATGTGAAGATGTAAGAAATTTTTCTCAAGCACAAATTCCAACACGACTATGCGACGATTATTGCCTAAAAGTGTGGACACGCGAAAATGATAGTGTAATTGGCGATGATAAAACAAGTGCATTACGTTATGTACGACGTGATTGTCATAAAATATTTCGTTTTCATATTAAAAAAGCTGAAACATGTTATCAACATAAAAAGCATCATACTGATTCTCTCTGTTTATGTAGTTCAGACAGATGCAATTCATCGATGAATGTTCGACTAAAACGAACTTATTATTGGATTTTTTTCATGTTTTTTATTTTCTATTGTGTCGATGTGTTTTCTTTGGTTACCAATTATTAGTTCGTTCAAAATATGTTGTACAAAGAAAAAAGAAAAGAAAAGAAGACGAATAATAGCACGATTCTAAAACATTGATTATCTAACCATCTATTGAAAGACGTGTTTAGAACACCGGGATCAATAAAAACAAAAGGTGACTGTTAATTTGTGAAAGTCCATTCAATGACTTGGTTTGCTTGAGCTATCATGTCTAAATCGAGTCCATACACGAGTAGAATCTAATTTGAGAAAAGAAACAAAAATACGATCGGAGACGATTATGTTCTTGTAGTAAACTTTTAATGCATACTTGATCGGGAATATTGTAAAGAAAACTTTTGTAAGTTTTACCATTAACATTAACACTATTGACTGGTTTATTTACTCCGAGAACTTTCACAATGTCCAAACGCATTGGTGAATCTTTGTAATTTGTAACGAACGCATTTATAGTTACTGTGTTCTAAACGATGAAGTAATAGGAGATTAGAAGAGAAAAATAAAATTGGTTTCATTAAACAAAATGAGTTCAATCACCCGATTTTGTTTCAACTCAGTTCACAGTTGAAAATCTATGCTCAATAGTTTTTTTCCGGGTACTGCTAGAATTAGAATTTTACATTTTTCTAATCCGAGACTTTTTGCCGCACACTATCGAAGTATAATTATTATGGTGACATTGAAACATTCAACAATAGAAAAGTTTTTTCATTATGTAACATTATTATGACTCCTTGAGATACTATAACTATTCGTCGTTCGAATTTCCAAAGATATTCTGACCTGTACTAATGGAGAGAAAAGAATCACATCATAGAATTCAGTGTTTTCCGACGGTAATGAGAATCCAATCTAAAAGCGTTCATTTCTATGTTTGCATAAGATTGTTTGATGAAGAAGAAAAAAAGAAAACTTGAAACTATCTAATTCTCGGATCAATAGAAAAAGGAAGTTTGTTTTTTCCGGAGAAAGGAAAAAGCATTTACGCAATCAAATATTCATTACTGATTACTTACAGCATTGGTTAATGAAAATTCAAGATAATTATAGGTTTTTGTTTCAATTGAATCTACAATGTAAAAAATATAACTTTCAATATATAAACCAGAATCAACAAACCAATTGAGTCTCCGTCGTCCCAGAAAAGATTGCCACTTGCATTACCCCATTGAGATTGAGCAATAAGTAACGTGAATGGATTACCACGCCCAATCATTAAATTAGCACCAGGCGTCTGCATAGGAATAATAAAACCACCACGTACATGAGCATTTATTTTTGATAATGGAGCGTCTAAATCCATATAGACTCCGACGTTTGGTACTTTTACGCCTGACGGAAATTCATACCAAACATCTGATGGTATGTATACATGAACAGAAGTCGCTCCCTAATGGAATAAAAATTTGAATTGATTGTTTTATGCTAAACGAATTCATTTACTGCTTTTAGATTTGGAGAAACAAGAATGGCACGACCAATCAAAAATTGTTGATCAATATTATAAGTATTTGCTTCATCTGGAAATCTTAAATGAAAACCCCAAAAATGTTATTCTCTTTTAATTTTAGGAATTTGTTTTCGTACTCAAAGAAAACTGGTTGTACTATTGTTCTTGATATAATAGCTGCTTCGTGGTGAAGAGTATACCAAAATGGAACTAATGCATATCGCATAAGTAATGCTTGTTTCATTATTTGTTGAGCTTCCCATGAAAATGAGGCTGGATCTTGATCCTATGTTTTTTCGGAACAGAAAGTAATCCATTATATTGAATAGGATTTGAAGAAGAAAAATAGAAGATTTTACTTTTTGTCCTAGATCATTGTGATTTCTCATAAATGGATAAAAAGCACCAAGTTGCATCCATCGTGTACATAATTCTTCAGTTGTATCGAGGCCAAATCCACAAATATCCGCACCGACATGTGTAATACCAAACATATTAAAACTAAGAATAGCTAAATAAACAACAGTATAAGAGGAAAAACAATTGTTATTCATAGAAATCATACCCGGAATAGAAAAATACATATCGTCGAATGTAGCTCGATTATCACCAGTCCAGTGAGCAGTGTATTGACCGGAACCAGCATATGATGAACGTGTTAAAACAAATGGGCGTTTCTTTCGAATTGTTTTCAAGGCTCTAGAAAATTAGTGAATATAATTCATTGTATAACTGATTCGTAAAACTCTCATACGCATTCGATGCCATAGATTCGAAATAACCAAACATATTGTGTAAATTATAATGAGATGAAAGATACTGTTGAGCAGATGGACATAATGTTTTTGAATAAAGAGTACCACCAAGCACATCTATTCGAAACGAAAGTGTGTCCAATATTTATACGAGTTGTAGACTTCATAGAATACTTAAACTCATCATACCGGATAAGAATATTATCGTGCAAATTCTATTGAGATTATAATTTGAAGTATATACAATCGGAAACTTGTTCAGATCAATAAATCATATTTTTTCTATACTATTATGTCAAAGGTATTCTTCTCCTAAGGAAGCATCTCACATCAACTATTCAATAGGTGCTCTACTTGCAAATCAAATAAGAAAAAGAAACTTACTAGGAACAAATGGCGGATTATCTAAATTATTACTTGTACATCCGTCCATTGATCCATCAACAAAATTCGATGGTTCGTTCATATCCTAGAATGATATTATAGAATAAAGATATATAATTCTCAAAACATAATCTAATATCTACAATCCACATTCCATCAAAAGGAACAATATCATGATATGCTGAAGCTACATTAGTCCACCATTCAATAGAATTTGGATTTGTAAAATCAGGAAACGCTGTTACACCAGGCCAAACCTTGCACAGTGGCATAATAATCATACAGAAATCGAAGTGTGACGTATTCTTACTTTTCCAGTAATTATTTCTGTTGAATTAAATTTTGTTATAAAAATTCCTTTTTTTACTCCATCATCATAGGGTGAATAACTGCCTGAAGGCTGAACTGAACTAATACCCGGATCAATAATATTAACATAATGCTTTCCATCTGATTGCAAGGCACGCACAAGATCAGCAAGGCCATGAAAATTCTTTTGATCATATGTAAAATCAAGATAAGATGACATCGTATCAATATCCGTCCATTGAACATCAAATGGAAAATCAGCATCATGCATTCTCTATAATTGTAGAGTCGTAATGGAAAGTTTTATTTTTATCAAAAAAAGAATTTACTTGAATAGTTTCTAACAAGTTTTCGATAGTATTATATCCATATCGACAAAGATGAAATCCTAAAGACCAAAATGGTGGCATGATTGGATTCTAGAAAAAGAATAGAAAAGAACTTATTAGCACAATACACGTGTGGAATAAAAATGTAAACGTTAGCACATCTATTATTACTTATCATAGGACGATATCTTTTATTTAAGACGTGTATTAGGTTATTCTAGAGAAATCCGAAAGGAAAAGAGCAGAATAACATACGTTAAAGTCATTGTCCCAAGGAAGTTCTGTTGAATCGCCTGTCACGATCCGTAATTACGTCGAGTAGTAAGGGATGCAAATCTACACTCTCTAACCGTTCGTTTGCCTCCTGTTTTATAAAAAAAAACCGCAGTATTCTTACTCCAATAATATCCCAATATTGTTCAATAACATCTTGTGCTGTGGGTCCAGTGAAAATGTATAAATCAATAATTCCACCAATTGTTGTATAGGTTATTGCTGGTAGCGGTTGAAGATCGATATCCATTCCATTTGAATTAAGAAGAAATTGTCCATGAAAATTGACTTCTTCATTTTTATCAAATTCAGGATTAAGATGAAATGGATGCACACCTAAATAAAAAATAATACATCTTTTATTTCAATTAGAAATAAAAAATACTAACCATAGAGATTTGTATTTTGTACTGGTGGAAAGTCACGTGACCAAAATGTCAGTTTTTTCCATTGTTCAGTAACATTCATTACTAATGATTGTCGATGTTCGCCGAGACCATAAACTAATGGACTGGATAAACGTGTAGAAAACTTAATGAATTGATCGGCAAATATCAGTGGTGATACACTTGAATCAAATCTAAGAAAAACAGAACGATACATAGAAACGTATTCGAAAAATCATTCTTGTTGTCGAATCGAAAAGAAACTTACAGAATAACACCTGTTGACTTTCGTGTCACAAGTATCGAAAATGGCTTTTCGGTAATTTTAACTTCATAATCTGTCATATTAGCTTTCTTTTCAATAACTGGAACTTTCAATGGCACTTCATATCGTCTATAAATCGAATCATATATTCGAATGCGAAATCGTTGTTCAGTTTCATAGATAAGATCAACAGTTAAACCTGCTATATCATGCGGCATATATGCTGTGTCGGATTTATTCAGTTGTATTCGTTGACCAAAATCTGTTTGCTCAGTTTTTTGTACAAAATATGTTCCAAAATCTTTCGGATAGTAGCAATACGGTATATTAACATCTGTGAAATTATTCGGATGTTTTGTAGTTGAATTCGTTTTTGTAAGAGGTGCTCTCCAACAGCAATGTCTTGCGAGACATTTATCTTGTGATGCACCACTTTCCGGGTAACAATCGAAGCGCGCTACATCCGAACTTTGTTCGCATTGTTGACAATATGAATAAGATGTGAGAAAAATTATTGAAAAAATTAAAACTATTGATAAGTGTGCCATTGAATTGAATATTACACTTGTCTACAATAAGAATCCGATATTTGTTCTTAGAAATATTCCATAGAACAGACAATAAAATCACAACGAGATTATTTAAATACATCAGAACGAAGAAGAAGAAAAAAATCAGAATCAGCAATCCCATAAAAATAAATATTTCTATATGCATATATTTAGAAAAGTCTATCATAAACGAACATTTTGTTTTTCAAAATGCGCTTGTAGTTCAGGAAAAATTTGCAAGAGAACTTCATCGAGAATCATGTAAAATAACTAAAAATATTTTAATATACATGTATATTTTTCAAAACAGCGACAATGAGTTACTTGTTTGTTTAGTAATGGATCTTGAAAATACCGAAGAATCATTTGTAAACCATTTTCAACATTTGCTTTACCAAGTGCCAGTTTGATGAGATCTGAAATTGATGAGAGTGTAAATTACAGCGAAATTCCTTCCAGATCTTGTCGTCTGATTCGAACTTAATAAAACCGACAGGTATCGAAGACTTACTTGGCAAAAATTCTTCAGCGGCTGCAACAACATCATCCATATTCACTAAATCCGTTGGTCTGAAATAGAATTATGATTGTGTTATTCTTTCAACTTTTGTATACGTCTTGCGTTTCTTACTCTTTATCTTCTGCATCATTTGGAAAAACTACATCTATAGAAATATATTCAATAGAGGGGAAAAATGAGTTATTACTATTATTAAAATATATACCTCGAAGAGCATGAATAACATCAATAATATTTTCTTCATCATTTATAATATCATCTACATTGTCATCAATAAAATAGGAGAAGAATGTATCAAAGGAATTTTTCAATGGAACACGAAGTAAGTCTAGCAGATAAATTAACAAAGGGGATGCAGAGAAAACTTGTTTAGCTATAAAAAAAAGAGCAAAGATATACATGAAAACAAAAGTGCGATGTTCTTACCAACAACAATCATATGATCGTAGGCACTGTCGAGTTCACCAGAAGTGATGTTTTTTATCGGTGATTCTTCTAGAGATTCTGTTATATTTGCATTATTTTCATAGATAGAATTTTGAAGCTAGAAGACGAAAAATATTTGACTCAATTTTATATCATTGATTCATACTTTTGCTTCGACTATATCATTAAAAACTGGATTTGATTGTGTTGCTTTTGGTTTCGGTGGTTCGGCATAGTTGATCAATGATACAAGAAATGGATCAAGATATTGTCCTTTCTATGTTAAAAAATAAAATCTCTAAATTCAGTCATTCCGAATTCATTCTGTTTTGAACCTCAGCTCGTAATCGACGCGGAACCACTTTGAACATTTTTGCTAGAAAAAAGGATAACACCATAGTTTCTTATGACAGAAAAATCTTCTGAAATTTACATAGAACAACTTCACCAGTCGGTAAAGTAAAATCGTCCGATTGTGTTAGAAAATTGTATAATAATTCACTATTGCGCAATGTTGGTTTAGTCAATAAATGCTAAAGCATCAGTAACAAAAAACAATTAGAATTTATGTTCTCGTTTTCTTCGATGATAGAGTAACGGCTATTCAAAATTTGAGAAAAACAAATTTCTTGTTCCAGTTGAGTATGTTTTCCTCAAATTTCGTATTTTGCCATACTCTGCATAGGCTTACTCTTAGAAAATATTCAAAATCTTTTTTAATTGATTCAAGAAATTCTCGATTTCGTGCGTATGCTGAAGATTTTTTTGGTGGCAATCGCGCATCCGAAAAAACACCGTGAAATCGAATTAGCTTTTGTTCTAGTAAGTAAAAATCTTGATAACGTCTAAATTAAAAAAGCAAACGATCACTGGCGAATTGCTTTCGAAATAGCCTTTTTTCCTGTTTACCTTGCTACAATCCAATTAGTTTTTTCGTCGTCCACTAATAACGGATTGTCTACATGATGAAGGATTATTATTTTTTATTCTTTCGCTAAAAATAAAAATACTTACTACTATTAGGATCCAATCTCTGTATTTCAATTATGAATACGAAAGATTTCATATTTGCGTATGTATTATCTCGTAGTTCATCAATGTCAAAGACATGAATTCGCCATGAGTTCATATCTTTTTCATCGTGCGACTAAATGCAAGCAATAGAAGTTGACAATTAGAGTCGACAAAGAGCTAAAACCAACATACACTATTACTACCAATGCTCGTTGTATCTTCGGGATATTTTTTGTAGGCTTCATCTTTTTCTTCCAATTCTGTAATAAACACGTAGATATATAAATTTTGTTCTTTTGAAAAAACAATAGTCTCTTCATGTGGCCCGATGCAGGTCTTATCTGACAGAACTCTATTACTCTTATTTACAGCACACGAGAAACGGTCTCTTATCGTATCCTTGTAATGATGTGAGTTACACAAATATGACTCGCTGTCAGCCTAATTTCGCATCATAGATTTGTGTAAAGTAAATCATCTCAAGGATATGATAAGGAGAATGCTTGTTTTTTTATTGGTTTAAAAAAATGGCACACAGCCTCCTAGACAATAAGAGCTTCATACCTTTGTACGATGTTGTTGTATAATGTCTTGACGAATTACGTTTCTGTGTATTTCCATTCGCATTTCTAAATGAGATTACAAAAAAAAATGTAAGAAGTAATGAATGGATTCAACGATTAAAATATAATGTGAAACAAAAAAACAACTACATTCAGATCAATTTACAAACGAATATCAGATAATAATAAAAAAGTCATATGTATAACATTCAAACCTGATTTCTTCTGCATGAGTAAAATTTAATGCGCCTTCATCCAAACTAAGATGATTATTAAATGTTAGTATAAAGAAGAGAAAGAAATATTAAAAGAAAAAAAAAACTAACTTTTGCTCTATAATTTTATAATCAGGAGAGTCCATTCTTCGTCCACACATGTAAAGAAAATGTTCGTCACTTGATAGAAAACATTGTTGATATCTTTCTTCGACTAGTTCATAAATTTTACAATGAAATCGAGACAACAATGTGAATGTATGTTGAACATCTAGTCGATTGGTTGAGTTATCTGACTTTTCGTCGTCTTCATTGATACTTTCTTCCAAATGATTATAAATCAGATCTTTTATTTCGTCTATTAATGTATCGTTAGGATCACATGGATTACTAATGCTTACATAAGCATCAGCATTTTTTGTACTCAAATAACGTTCATCGATATTTCTTAAACGACGATAGATTTTCTTCCGTACTAATACATTTGATGCCGATGGAATATCATTCAATATATCGGATAATGTGAGATAAGTGCTTAATAAACCAACTGAACCGTAACGATCAAGTACACGACTGAATTGACTCAGTAATTCTTTTTCATACATAACATCAGTTAATTCCAAAACCAATTTGTTTTTATGTAAGGGTCCATTCATTGAACAAAATCGTGTTAATAATTCAACTGATGGCTCCTCCGGTGGATTTACAGGCGTGTTTGAAAGTGAATTTCGACGTTGAATAATAGTTATAAAATAAAGATGGAATAAACGATTTAATGTGTCTGGTTCACATATAGCATCAATGCCATCGATTAGAATTTGACAAGAGATTAATTCGCTTAGAAAATGACGAGATCCTTTGCATTCATAAACGAATTTAGGCGTTATTATTGGCATTAAATCAAGTATAAGACGCTTTAAATATTTGATTTCCGATTGACGATTATACATGGCAATATGAAGATCATTTTTGTAGAGGTTTTTAAGAAAATCAGTTGACGATTGAGATTCATCATGAGGCTGTAATTTAACCAGTTGAATATAACGGTCGAATGTTTGAAAAATCAACGGAAGCAAACGTTCAAGAACGAATCCATGAATATCAACCTTAATAAATAAATATTTCTACTATTCTAATAGGATGACAATAAAGAAACTATCAAATATTAATATATTGACAAAAACAAACAATTCATCGCAGACACGCCCACATCCTCGAAGTCTTACATTTTGTACTCGACGAATAACTGTTGCTAAAAAATATCGAAAGACATGTTTAGCTTCATAAACCAAACTATCATCATGAGTAATTAGTCTAAAATACCATTTTTGTAATTATGTTCACACTGATTAAATAAAAATAACTTACGATAACCATGGATAGACATGATCTCTGAGACAAAGACAACAAAACTAAAGAGAAACGAAAGAACTTCAATAGGATTTTTTAGAAATAAAAAAATTACTTCATCAATAGCTATATCTATTCGTTTTGACAACATTAAATGAATCCATGGATTTTTGTGAGTATAATGACTATTTGCACTATGTATCCAAAACGAATAATAGTAAAGAAGAAAAAATATGAAGTATGAAAAAAACTTACATCTGTGTTCGTATCAGTTCTTTGTCTAAATCCTATAGAAAAACAAAACCTGCTATCAAATGTATATTGACTCAATTCTTATCGATTACTTTTGAGGGCTCATACAAAATAAGTAGATTTGGCCAATATTTTGGACACTTGTTAGGATTATTCAGTGATAATCTGAGTGAAAAAAAAGTATATATAAATTAATAAACTAAAATAAAGAAGACTTCATACATACACATAGTAATCCGTTAACTTATAACTGATTATTATCAGTAGAATGAAGACAATAAACTGAATCTTTCTAAAATTAAATCACATAAAAATTTGATTTCGATTTCAAAAAGCAACAGACCCAAAAATGAATAGAATTATCAGTAGAAATATACTTAAACAGATACCAAGAAGTGTACGTTGGCCCATATCAGTCGACAGAATATTATCTTTATTCATCTAAAATATATTCAAATCCATCTTTAGAAATTCTTTCTTTATATATTCTAAGTCATTATTTCTCATATGCGTGTGAGCCAAATATTTTAACACTTAATTTTTCTGTTTTAGAAACTTGAAAGATAGCGCTCGATGCAATTTTATATCTTCTTTTAAATGGTTAAAACTACAGGTCTACATATCTAGTTGCTATCAAAAAAATTTTCTCAAACTCTTCGTCTAGTTCGAAATGAATATTAGTAAGGTTATATGAGATCTCATAGACTCACATTTCGAATTACTTTTTTTCGTTCGTTCAAATTTCGATATTGACCTTGAGTGACATACTTCTATGCGGTTTGTTGTTTAGCGTTGCATCGATCGTATCGCTAATGGTCATGTAACAAAAATTTCATGCTCGTGTTTGTTCTTCATTACCATATTGAATGAATACAACAGTTATTTTTTTTTATCTGAATAATATTTCTCTACAAAAAAAACAAGAAATGCGACTTAATAAGTATTATGTTTCTATTTACTTGATTATTTAGTATTGAAAACGAAAACAAAAACAAAAACATGATTTACTTATCTCCATAGTCAAAGAGAAAAAAAGAACGCATGATATATATATTATGTTGTGACTCGGAGAATAGACCAAAAACAACGTCGACAAAATTAAATCGATCCCAAGAAGAAAAAAACAGCTAGTTTAAAACATAATCACAAATAAAAAGGTATATTATACAGTTTTTGTTTAAATTCCTCGGCTTTTTTCATCATAAATGAAGAGATATCGTTAAAGTAGAGAGAAAGAAAAAAAAATAATTAAGAAAAGATAAAATCAAAAAAGAAACCAAAAGAATTTCTTTAGATTAGACGCAAGAAAAAAGAACAGAAAAAAATATTTTGCTTTCAGTCATATGCACATATCTATTATTTTACAAATAAGTATTTGATTTTGGAATTTGTTTCGGAGGCTCCTGTAAATTATTAAATTGCATTGGCCGTTGGTATGTCTTTTCATCCGGAATGGTGGATGCACGTTTTTGTAAAAAATTATCAAATGCACTGCTTGTTTCACTTTCTTGATGAGGTGACTCATCATTATCTGGATCCTATTAAACGAAAACAAAAAAAAAAAAACATTGATTTCTTTGTATTTTTTTCTATCATACATCGCCTTGGACTTTTAACCATTGTTCGATTTCTTTTACATCATTTTCAGGATCCTAGAAAAATGAAATTTTTAAAAGGAAGTAATCCAGCGAAAATCTAGAACTGTTTATAGTCATCGATAAAATAATAATATTGGTAATCACTTCTTCTTTCAGATGAGGATCCCATCCGAATTAGACCTATTAACTCAATAAAGATTGTTATTTGTTACCGCAGTTCTAATCTCTATGATATTTTCTACAAGATTTTTACGTGATAACTTGCAGTGGAATGAGGTCTTGCCGATGCACTAGAAATAAAATAAAAAAATCATGGATATATTTGCTTGAAAGTAGATATGGAGAAAATTAGCAATAACGAGCAGTTTCTATCTTACAACGTAATTCTCTTAGATTTGCTTTAAGTAGAAAAGGGCAAGAGAGATTAACAAGATCTTTTTTTACTGAACAACTTACGTTGATTGTGGTTGGACATTTCTTGGTACTACATTAGATGCTGTTGGAGCTATTCCTAAAGAAATAATTCATAAAATCATAAGAAGAAAATACAAAAAAATAAACAGATACGCACGCATATTTTGAAAACTAGTTGTTGGATCGTCATCGAATCTAATCAATGCTGGTTCATCATCTGCGTTTCGTGGTAATGGTACCGTCTGAATAGATTTCATTCAAGTAAAATTATAAATAGAAGAATAAGATAGAATTCATTACCCTATTGTTCGATAACGGTGGCATTGAATTTGTCGACCGAAGTGATGAGGGTACAGCAAAACGTCGATTACGTTCTTGCATGTACTTTTCAAATGTTTTAAATGCATTGTTAAATTCATCATTATATCGTAAAAGGTCAACTAGTTTCAAAAAAATAATAAAACAAAGAACTATTTCAATTCATTCAATCGATTCTATCTACCTGTTATATCATCAATGGAGATTTGTGCGAGTAAATCGATAACGCGAGCTTGCATTTGTTTGCATGTATTATGTAATTCCTAATGAAATTCATACTTTAAATTAATCTCAAGAGAATATAAATCTTTTTCATTAGCCATATGATTACATTTTTTGATCAGGGTGATATGAATGCATGATCAGTCTAGAGTACTGATTGTTTCTAGTCAGTCACAGAATTAACTATTCATAGAGAACGAAATTGAAGCCTTTTCATGATAGCTGCTTAAATTTCCTCGTAAATCGATTAACACAAGTGGTAATAGTAGCGAAAATTTCTTTGTCCTTCCATGAAATCTATTGTACAATCAAATAGATCGGACTTGAATAGTAAAAGAAAAAACAACATTTTTCTCTCTCGTCCATCGGAACAGAATTAATTTTATTTCATCTAAGATTCTTCTTCTTCTTTGTAATGCTAAAAATTGTTGAGGCTAATCGAAACTCATAATTTTTTTTGTCTGTACACCTGCTGTCATTTATCGCTTCTTTTCTATTGTCCCTGACCTGATATATACATCTCATTGAACAGCTCTCAGTGAACTGCAAAACAACAAAGTTATTTTTACCATTAGTAGTTCAAAATCTTGTGGATTTTCTTCACCTGGTTGTAATGTAACAAGCATTTCACCAAATACTTGCGCATTAGTTTGTACAACATCTAATTCGCTGCGCAATTTCCCTAGATATTCTGCTGACATTGCCTGTACAGCTGTTTGATTAGGAGCAATAGAATGTGACACTCCATCTGCTGCTTTTCGATTCTATTAATGGAATAAAACTATTGCATCATCTTTTTTTTCTAACTGATATCAATACTTGTTCACTATATCCTTGAGCAGGCGGCTATAAAAATAGATAAAGTTAATATATACATATATTTCAAATCTATCTTACCATAGATCGTGTACTTTGTAGAGGTCGATCAACCGTTCGCTAGATATTCGGGAAAAAAACAAAAGTAAAACATTATTTTATTGAAATATGATTTACTGTAGGTGTTAAAGCTGTTTTAATAACATTTTCTGGTTCTGCTGGTGGAAATTGTAAACCATGTTGTTTACATTCTTGATAAAAATGTTCGACAGTTTTTAAATCTGGATCATTGCGAAAAGCTAATGCCCACGTCTTAAGAAATAAGTCAATTTTTGTTTTTAATAGACATTTACTTTCAAATTCTTACTTGGATCAAGTTAAGAACTCTTTCCTGTACAGCTACAGGTGGATTGTTTTTTGGTCCAATTACACCTTTAAGTTCTTTTAAAAAATCTTTATGTGCAAGTTGAAGATGAACTATTTTTCCGCAATTTTTCGTTAATGCTTCTAATAACTAAAATTGAGAAAAACAAAAATTAAAATTTTATTTTATTTTTAGTTTCATTTCAATATACCGTAAGTGTATATCCAATAGTACGCCATCCATGTTGATTTGGATTCAGATGTAAACGTTTTCGAATAATTTTCAATGCTTCTTTTGCACTAATTAGATGAGAAAAATGAGACTTTTCAAAAAAACAACATAGCATAATAAACAAACAAAAATTTACCTTTCTTCACGAGTTCCGACGTAATCACAAATTTTCATAATCAAAGCCCAATCTTCACTTGATTGGCTTCCATCAGTAGCTTTCTCAATAGCTTGTTGAAGTCCCGATGGCTGTGTGTGACTATTACGGAACAAAGTTGCCATGTTTAATCTAACAAAATGAATAGAATAACTATTTGATCTATTCAATCAAATGTATTAACATAGCAAATAATTCAGATGCCCTTAAAATATCCCACATGGTAGTGGGTGCAATAATAAGAACGAGAAGAAAGAGAGCCTAAGAAAAAAAAAAATGAAAGAACGTTCTCCTCATAAAACAAAACTAGTGCAGGGAATCAGGATTGGGTATGTGAATTAAAAGGTAAAAAATGAGTCAAAACAATGAAACAATAATGATAGAACAAGAAATAAAGAAACATAAGACTTTATGAAGCAATAAAAAAAAGAAATACTCAACTAGATCAGAAGGAAGAACCTTGAGCTGCGATTGGATTGGTTAATTAGTCTAGACCAATTGGATAAGGAAATTGACGACGCTAGTATGCGATGAGTGGTGCTAATGCGAAATGAATTAAGGGAGTTAGTGAAAAGAAAAATGCCGTAGAAAACAAATCAAAAATATTATTCTATATACATTATATATGGTAATTTTAATGGCAGTTTTTCTTCAAATAATGTTTGTCAATATATAAAGCTCTTCTAACAAGAAGAAAACAAAAATTGTTTTTATGATTGTTAAGAGTATGATTCGAACAGCATAATGTGTGCCATTTATTATTTCTGAATCATGCACACTTGGAGTTGGAATGTTTTTCTCGGATAGCAGCGAGGTTCTATTTTAATGCAAAATAAAATATTCACAGACAGCCTTGGCACGACCGCCAACTTTCGAGCTAAAGCTTCTTACTGGCAATACGTGGTGCACATCAGGAAAATACCAATACTACACGCGGTAACTAGTATATTATATTAGTGTTCTTTAATCTGAAATCAGGATTCTATGGCAATGATAAGAACAAAAGAAATGAACAGCTGACCGAAATTTCTGTTCTGATTCTCCGTAATCCGTGATTTATCAAAACGATACTCTAGTTTGGATTGAGACTTGAAAAATAGGCTTTTTTTGTTAGTCAAAATCTTCCTGATCTAATCCACTATACTAAGATTGTCGACTAAAATGAGTCATCTTTTTTGCGTATACGACAGAATCATCGTCGAAATGATTGTTAGATTGAGTTTAGTAAGAAGTACAAAATATCAATCGAAAATCGACCCAACACCTGAAAATGTCAAAATAATCTAATGCATGCATAGACAACGTTAAACGATTCATCAAGCATGGGATAGTGTAAAGTAGACAATTATCAAGAATCCGATTGATTATTCAAATATTTTAAATAAAGTATCTGATAGTAAATGATACTACCGTTTTTATTTTAAAACTATGCCTGTATGTTCGTTAGTCCAAAGAAAGAAAAAAAAAGAAAAATCGTTCGACAAAAACGCCAATGAATATAGACCAAAAAGAACACATTCCTTTTTTCTAAAGAATTTTATGATTGCAACGAATTCTACATGATGGAACATCCTGATGAATTGAATGGATTGACGGCACCTCTGAAAATAAAAAAGCAGAAGCAAAATCAAACGATTGTTTTTTATTCTAAACCAGTAAGCTCTTTTGTTTAATGCACAAGAAGCAAAAGCGAACAAAGATGCATTTATGATTACAGACAACCTTCATCGTAAGCACGCAGCCTTGCCAATTATTATTAAACGGTTTAGTACGAAATAATACTTCATTGAGGTATTCATGGTCTTAGAGGAAAATAAGGGCCAGTCGATGAACCTGACGTATTCGATCGAATGTTTCCAGCAGCAAAGGAGGGTTGAGAGTAACTGATTCCTGTCGTATTTGATTGAGTGTAGCCTGTAGTTCCACCCGGTCTAGCACCTGTGGCAAAAATATTTCCTGATGCATATGGATTATTTTGATTTCTAGCTGTTGCAGATATTATAGGTGGTGACGAGCGTTGATTATTTAATACTGCTTGTTGTAGAGACTGCGTCAATTGAGCACGTTTTTGGTCAATTTGTTGCTGAATATCAGTAAAATTTTGAAGATTTGATCCATAACCACCAGCTCGCGGAAGTGGTCCAGGTCGTAATCCTCGCGTTTCTGATGGCTGAAATGGGATGAGTAACCCCCCGGGTGTCAATGGTATGATTGGCAATGATCCCGATCGGTTTACACCGCCAGCTAATAGTAGACTATAAACATCAAAGTTTATCTCTTATCGATTGTTTAAGTCAAACTTAATTTCTTAGCGCAAATCTAATACAGCAGAGAAAAGAAAAAAACCTAATAATTTACTTTGGATTCGTAACTGTCTGTGCTGTGATTGTAGGTTGCATCAATTGAATAGCGCCATTATTAGATGCTGTCGAAGGAACAGGTAAGCCAGCTCGACCAGCAACAGTCTAAAATGATAAAGAAACAAAAAATTAGATTCTATGTTCAAACTGTAAATTTTACTCGTATAAGCGCATGACGAAACATATTTGCTCCATCGGGTTGTGTTGCTTGTGTACTCGGCATAACACGTGATGGTGCATAAGATGGTTGACTTAATGCTAATACATTTGGATTTGCTATAGCCATTTGTTGATTTTGAACTGGCATCACAATTGGATCATAGGGACGTTGATAGAGAATTTGAGGACTAGCTAAAACGAAAGAACAGACGACAACACACTTGTCATTATTTCTGATTATCTGCATGTGATTACTTTTGGAACTTACAAGTGTATTAATATTGCGAAAAAAAAGGAATTTTCATTAGTAATCTATAGATAACCATCACCGAATTAAAACTATTTAATTTAACTACCTGCGACGCTTGATGTTGGCACTATGAACATATAATAATAATAATTATTGTTGTTTTCGTTTTTGAAAATAAGAAAAAAAAATCTACTTTGAAGAGTTTGAAGAACAGGTTGAGCTTGAATCGTTTGCGATGCAGGTGATGCTATTTGTAAAAATTGTGGCTGCGTACTCTGAATAAGCTGTAATGGTTGTGGCTGTTGAATAATTTGCATTGGTTGATGTTGTTGGAGAACTTGTAGGGATTGTGGTTGTTGAATAATTTGTAATTGTTGAGGCTGTGGTTGTTGTTGAACAAGGAAGCTTGTTGCACGTTGAAGTTGTGATTGTGGTAGACTGATAATAGATGATGCCGTTCCAGCGTTTGTTGATAATGAATTAAAAACAGGTATTTGATTTATCATTGTTGGTTGCATTGATGTCGGTAGATTGTCAACATAAACAAATTGTTGTTGTCCTGGTGATATAGTTTGTTGAATGATATTATTATTATTATTTGATGTGCAATGATATTCGTGTTGATTAGGTTCAGTACAATAGACTATTTGTGATGATGGTTGTTGTTGTTGTTGTTGTTGTTGTTGTGAAAGACAAAATGTTCCATCAGCTTGTTGAATAAACTAAAGAAAATTTCGTTTTAGATTTTATGCTAAAACATGAACATATATATGTATGCAAAGCATGAGTATAGAGGCTTTTTGTTTTAATGCAGCGAACTTATTTATCCCTACACAAGAATCTGAAGTGCAATTCATAGTTGATGTTGGACGACAACAACAACAATCATTTTCAACATAGATTCGCTCAATTTCTTGCACATTACAACCGGTAGGAGTACATGAATTATGTTTCATAATTGAAGGAGGTTGAGCATAAATATGTGGGGAATGATGGCCGACTTGAGTTTCATTGCAAGATGCTACTCGATGGGAAATCATTTGATTTTGTATAGGATGTAGAGGAATTTTTCGTTGAATAAATTTCTATAGAATAAGTAATTGATAAGATTCAATAAATTCGATTATAATAAAAGACGAAAACGAGAAAGCAAAGACTAGAGTATGATTAACTTACTGTATCTTGATCTTGATTGTAGAAAATTTGTTGAGGAATTCCATCTGTTACTATTCTTTGCGGTTGTTGTTGAAAATTACCATCACGATAGACAAAGCAAGGCGTTTGTTGATCATCGACAGCAACTGTTTCATTTTGTGTTTGATAAGGAACAGTAGCTAAACCATTAGGATCAACAGCGTAACCTTCACCATTTGGTACTTCACGATAGACAACCATCTGTTGAGACTGTTGTTGTTGTTGATCTTGTTCAACATATTGCGGATTAGCCATCATCATTTTCGACGAAGAAACTAATGTTTGATTGGGTCGATTTCTAATTGATTCCGCACTTTTAGCTCGATTTCGTCGGCTATGATGGTGATGATGATGATGTTTATCGCTATGATGATGATGATGGTGTTTATGTTTATGACTTCGTTTTGATGTTGATGATGCACTTTCAAATGTTGATGCATTTTTAGTAGGTTTTTCAGCTGGCCACATTTTCGTTTGAGCATTTATTGGAGTCGATATAACAGGTGGTGCCTATGTGGAAAACAAAATGATCTTTGCTTGGTTTTGTCGATTAATGAACTAATAAAATATGCCAAAGCAATTAAACTTACAGCAAAAAAAGATGAATTCTGTCGTGACATCATCATTGGCTGTGTAGCTCGAGTGTCAAAATTTGTCTGTTAGAAGCAAAAGCGTGTTTCTGTGCGTACAAAATTAAAATGTCTACTTACGGCTGTCATTGTTGCTGTTGATAGTGGTGGTGGTGGTGGTGCATCCAAATTTATATACATATGTGGAATAGCCTCAACTCTTTCGAGATGTTTGACTGGATGGGGAGAACAAACAAACAAGAATTAGAAAGGTTCATTTAAATTAAAATAATTAAATATTTACGTTGACCCTGTTCATTGCCCATCACTGTTGCTAATTTCATCGTTGTTAAATCTGGATTTATTAAAGCTTGATTTGCAGCCCATGAAGAATATTGTCGTGACATGGCTATAGGCTTTTATGAATCAAAAGGTACAGTTAATCAATACCAAATTCACTGTAGGAGAAGTTAAGTTGAACTGCTCTTCAAAAAAAAATATATATATATCACAGTACAAGATGAAGGTTACATAGGTATGCGTGTAATAATGATGTAGAAAAAGAAATCAAAGTAATAGTGTGAACAACAAACCGCATATATGTAGCGAGGGAAAAAAAGAAAGATAGTAATCAAGGCTAGTAGTAAGAGTAAATAAGCGCGTTTCTCATCTAGTTTGATGTGTCGAAAAGAAATATTACCTTGCAATATTGATAGCACATGATCAATAAATTAATCAATGACATTGAAAAGAAAAATATATCTATATGATGTGCATACGCATGAAATAGAATGATAATAAAATTATTATGTAACTGACAAAAGTTCATGTGACGAACATAATTAATGTCGCGATAGGAAATATTTAGATCATCGCGTGGTGATTTGTAGACACCTCGGAAAAAATAATTTTCGAAGTTTCTATTTCAAATCTGCATGCAAAGATAAACATTAAATATGCTAAAGTTACATAAAGGTTTTTTGAAAAACAAAAAATATTCTATTTAAAATTTTTCTTTTTTCAAAAATCATTCTTTTCCCAACATCTGCAAACAGAACACGATAGCGTTTGATTGAAGAAATACGATATAAAAAAAATATGATGTTATCTATCGATAAATGATAAATCAACACCACGAACTACTTTCATGGTTTTATAACTCATTAGAACTTATATAATGAATATTGTACCGACTCAAAAGCGAGTAATCACTTTGGGGACTTCCCTCGTTAATGTTGAGCTCACCGCTTGTTTAACTGTGTTTATTCATTCGTCACTTTCATATACGAGTGAACATATAATGGACGTTGAAATCATATTCATCTTGCGTGAGATGCATCGTTAACTTATGTGCTGATATAAAAAACATAAATGTCGTCGGCAACGAAAAGGATACATTCGTTCTCCTTTATACTATTCACCTATTCACGCCCCCCTAGTTAAGTGAACGGACACATAAGAAAAGGCGATATTGAGCGACGAAAATATTCTTTTTTTCTTCATCTGCTCAATATAAATTATCAATACTACGTAAGAGCATTCATCCGATCAAACGATGGTGACCTATGTCGTCTGGTCTCTTTTTTTCCTCATCGATCAAATTTTGTCGCTTTTTAATAATACAACAAACAAAACCAAAAAAAAGAAGCAGAAAAGCCCAAAAACAAGAAAATATGCATACACACGCACACACACATATATATTTTTTGGTTTCTTCAAATAGACATTCCATTTGATGTGTGCTTAACTAGCAAGAATATTTACTAGTGCGACGAAGTAGTTTATCGTTCGGAAATGTATTTGTTAATTAGAACCAAGGAACAACATGAATCCTTATAAACGTGATGGATCACTTTTTTCTCTTTCCTTTGTTGATTCTGCTAAAGGAGAAAAAAAAAGGAAATGAATGTAAAGATAGAGAATATTTGACATCGACTTGCTGTCAGATATTTATTCACATTAGTAGTAATGGCCTCATTCTAAAAAAAAATGAACCGTTCATTAGCAACTGAAGAACAACTTGCATTTATTATTCAATTAACGAATAGTATATTTCCATTATTTGTTTTACCATTAGCAACTATCGGTAATTCTCTATGTTTTCTTGTATTTTGTCGACCGAAATTTCAAAAACGTTTAACACGAACATCATCCATATGTGTACGCTTATTATGTTTAAATGATTTAATTCTATTGTATTTATTTGTAATTGATGTTCTATTAAAAGCTTATACCAAATCGCCGACAAGAATCTATTCAACACCAGCAGCATGCCGTCTATATAAATGGATACGTTATTCAATATTAGATTTTTCGGCTTACCTACAATTAGGTTTAACAACCGATCGTTTCATTTGTTGCGTCTATCATCGATATTATTCACGTTGGTGTAAACGACATTATTTATATTATTTATTATTCACCGCATTTATTTGTATTTTTGCAAAAAATTCTTCATTCCTATCAGCATCCTACGGTTATTATTATCTAACGATTAATAAAGATCGTAGTGTTAAATGTTCAGTTAAAATAAAATCTGTCTATTTTACTATGTACATGGCATATGGACAATCTCTAATTGATGTTGTCTTTATTACTTGTCTACCATTTTTTCTAATATTATATTTTAATTCACGTATTCTAAGAGAAGTTTTACGTTTACGCACGGAATGTTGGAGTACATTAACAAAATTAATGCATATAGCGCCGACTCAATCCGGAAGTTCACTTGTCATAACAACAAATAGTATAACATTACCATCGACAACAACAACAACAACAGTGATTATACGACGACATCGTGCAAAACGTCGACGTTTACATTTAACATTTGCACTTGGTTGTATATCATTTATATTTATATTTAGTACGGCGCCATATAAAATATTTAAAATTGTTGAACGACATGATAAAGTCATACGAGATCAATATATGGATGGGACAGCGAAATCAATTCATATGCAATTAGCTGAAGTTATTATTGATTGTTTTGTCTATTTATCATGTTCAACGCCATTTTTTGTTTGCTTTGCTACATCAAGCATGTTCCGTGATGAACTACGTCGAGCTTTTCAATAGAAAAGGAAAAAACAAATAAATATTTTCTCTTTTTTTTGTACATATTTCTTTTTTAGTTTTAAATTGAAAACAAAGAAAAAACGATCTTCTTCATTTATGTTTGTTGTCTCAACCAGAGAAAAGAGCATCATCTTGTTATTGCATTTTAAACTGTTTTAGATCAACAGCCTGTCTGCCCTGTCAACGGCATGTCTATTTATTTCCCAAGTGAAAAGAACGACGACAGAAATGTTTTCGGCATGCTTGTCATAAGAAAAAATTACCGATATAAGTTTGAAATAAAGCAGCTTTCTTTCGGCTTAGCTTTTTTTGGGTGCTGATTGAAGAAGTTCATATGTACTTTCATCATAAATAAAATCTGCACCATATGAAAGACGATTTTAGCTCAAGTGTTTATCTAACATTAGCCTATATTAATTTAGAGAGATAAGAAATATTTCAATGTCGGTTTTTATGAAATTTACGATCAATGTTTTGCCGTGCAAGTATTGAATATATAACAATTTCCGACTTGATTAGATGGTTGCATAAAACTAATAGAAATCATCCACATAGACAGGGTATTCTAACGAAGTGTAAATGATCCTTTCGTTACGTTTTGATTCATGTCCATTGATGTAAAACAACGGAAAATCAAAATATGAACTACATAGCGACATGAAAGACGAAACTAATGATGATCTCATGATAGAGGATTCTACACTATTTGAATAATTACTAGAATCAGGCCCACCGACAATTAAGATTTTCCACTGAGATCAGCTGCAAAATTTTGAATGTGGATACACCAATCGATAATATAAAAAATTCTAGTTTCTCTTGTTGTAGCTGATGATAAATGGTGTTTAGATAAAAAGGATAAGAATTTTTTCCCTTGAAACCCTTTGTAAATTAAAATCAAAGGGTCCATTATATCATAAATGACGAACGGATACAAACCTCTTGATATTATTTATTTCAGCCGTGGATTGTTGTGACATAGTTTGCTCTACATTAGACTTATTGTTCAGCACTATACTTTTATGAAATAAAGTTATTTTTCAGCGATAAATGCATATTGCTTAGCATTAATATGTGTTTGATACTTATATATGGAAAGATAGTGTTGCTTTGATGCATTTCAATCAATAATTGGTTTCTAGAAAGTGAATATTGTTTGGTGTAAAACCAGTTTACTATTGAATCAAAACACAAACTGGAAGAGGTGAAAAGAAAAGCACTAATAATTTTTAAAATGTTACTATGTATATGCGTGCATAATCTTCATAGTATTGCTGATTTAGGAGTCTGAGTAACTCATGAAAATTTTCTACTATAGCATGTAGAAAGTACTAAAGAATGTACATTGAATTCATATTTCAGAATTAAAAATAGTTGTAACTCAAGTTATCAAACTTCATCTATGAAATCGAATATGCGATTAGTCTGGAAAAAAAATGATAAAAGTATATGCAAACATTTAATAAGTGGCAAAAAAATTTCTCAGCTGACTATTTCGGTTAAAGATACAACTACTTGTTCGAAACCGCATTTCGATCACATCTGCATTTACACCTGCCCTATCACGCCCATAGATTGTTACACTCCTATTCAAGTCACCTGTCTTGTAATTAAGAAAATGTTTGTTTGAAGAAACTGATACATTTCCATTATTCCGCTTAGTTTCTAAAGTGTGGTGGGTGGGGATTTAGCTGTTAATGAAATAATAACGTATTGTTTTTCAGTCATATACGCAGTTAAAATACAAGAGTACATTGGATATGGGCTTGAAAGAAGGACAACAACAATAATCATAAAGTCAATATTGATTTCAGGTATAATAGTTGTTCACATATGCCTTTCACCATTCCAATTCCCTTAATTCTACTCTATCAATTGAAAACTGAAGGATTCCATAAAGTAATAAACTGTGCAGACACCATTCTCTGTATTCTTTGTATATGTATGCGATGCACTGTAAAACACTCGTGTTATTATTTGCGTGTATCTCGATGGCTCTGGCACATGCTAGAATAAAATATCCAAGGCCATTGGCGGCTCCTACGGATGGTGCAGGTGGTAACTTTTACAATGAACCTCTGAAACCCGATGGAAGAGACTTTCCATGCAAAGGTCTACACAAGAAAGCTGGTGTAAGCAAGACACCAACAACTACGTGGAAAGCAGGCCAGGAAGCATACTTTGAGTAAATTTTTGCTCCATGATGATTGATAACTATTTATTATTTGAAAACAATAGCTTTATTATCTATTTCATTTAGGATTCTTGGACACAACAGCGTAGGTGGAGGAGAAGGATCCCTGGCAGCTCATAGTGGCGGAAGCTGTCAAGCTTCGTTGTCGTTCGATGACGGTGAAACATGGAAAGTTCTTCATAGTTATCATGGTGGATGTCCAAGGGATGTTCGATTAGGTTCTAATATGGCGGGTCCAAACCAAACGTTTCCATTTCTTGTGCCTGAACAGACGAGAACCGGAACCGCTTTGTTTTCATGGTAGGTTTCCTACTAGTTTATTCTGGATTTCGTTAACGTTTCAATGAGTAATTTGATATGAAATCTATATAGGACATGGATTGCTGTAACTGGTAATCGCAATGAAATGTTTCAAAGTGTGTAAAAAAAATATCAACTAACCTTAAAAATTGATTCTATTCTAGATTGTGCTTCGGTCATGATTGATGGTTCTGGGACAAGCATGCTCGAAGACTTCCCTGATATGTTCGTTGGTGATATGAGTATTGCGGGACATATTGGACCTGGTGAATGTCGAAGTTCATCTCGAACAGCTCTCGAGTATCCAAATCCAGGAAGCTCTATTACGATTGCTGAAGTTCCAAGCATACCCTTTAAAAAACCAACCGCTGGCAAGTGTTATTCAAAGGCGACTGCCAACAATGCGACGATGACAACTTTATCTACAACAATTACCTCAACGCTCACTTCATTATCATCATCATCATCATCATCATCATCATCATCATCATCATCATCATCAACAGTATCTATTGCACAGACCACAGATACTGGTGCTAAATGTGAAAACCCGACTCCTACAGTTTTCAGCTTGGTTGTTAATGATGCGAATTATCCCTGCACATGTACTTGTGAGAAAAGAAACCCATAGAACGAATTTTTCTCTGCTACATCATTTTAATTGAGACACACAGTGATGACCTTTATGAATATTTTGGGTGTGGTGAATGCGCTTCGAGATTGCTTATTTTACTAAACGAATAAAATCCAACTTCTCTCTTTTGTGCTATATCTAATTATCTAGAAAACAAAACTCGATTTTCTACAATAGTAATAAACACCAGATGAATTATAATGGTGTTATTGATGGATGCCAACAGCGCTCACCCACACTCGATTTCTAAACTAAAACGCTTTTTCTTCAATTCAATTGGCCATAAGTTTAAATTCACCAGTCAATAATTGCTCCTCAGAATTCCAATAAACATTTTAAATACAAAACTCATTCTGATTCTGTGATTTTTCAGAATCTATTTTGTTTTTCAATTTACATACTCGTTGATGTATATGATAAATGAAGCTTCATTTTGCTTAGCCCATGTCATTTGATACCGTAACGTCATTATTAAATTGTTTGTTATTTCTAAAAGGATTTAAAAATTCAATCGGAAATTTATTTATGGCAATAGATATTTGCATTCGCTCCTGTGTTAATAGTATGAGAGCATCGCGGAAACCTCATATAGATTTTCGTTTTGCCTATCTTTTATATGGATAGTTAGTTATTCACTGAAATATTGAAAATAGGCGAATTCTAAGTATACTTTTTAAATCAGCTAGGGTGCGGGTGTTGATATTTATTTCATCAACAGACACAGGTACACCACACACACACACACACTGTGTGAAACTCTTTTCACAGCATCCGTCTCGGCAAGATTGATTTTTCGATCAATAGAATGACACGTGAATAATGTTTATTTTGAAAAACAAAATGTTTAAAATTTGTGAATACAGAGCGATACAAGATATGAATAGAAATCAAGAAAAAAACACAAAAACGTAATCAGTGAATGCGATGGATGACAATAAAACAAATCACAAAAAAAGTAAGTCCTTAGATACAATACATGGTTAAGTAATTACTGGGGTTCGGTTATGCCAATTACTATGTTTGGGAAATCCTTTACATGTCGAGAATACTAAGCAATATAAAATTTACCAGTGTGATCTTAAATTTAAACTAATGGAAAATGGGAACTCTTCGGGATTAAAAATGTTTAAACCTTTTTCTAGGAATAACTGTTTATCCCGTAAAACCTTTCACATACTTCCTTCTATAAAGTTCTACTACGGCATTTCCTTGGTCACCAGCCGTTTTTCTGAGAATTTCTTCGGTTACAAAATGCGTGAGCGATTCAGCACCTTGAGAGGAATTAATATCTAAACGTTCACAACGTCCTGATGTTTCTTTTGCGCTTATTTGAAAGTTGTTTTTTGCGCCATCTTCAAGATAAAATGTGCACACAGGAATATTTTTAACCTTCAATTTTTGCAGTTCATCCATGTAATAAGTTGTTATTTTAAACTTTGTTTTACTCCAATAGGCCTTATCACCTGTAGCGTTTCTATCTCTAGCTATTACTGGCCTTTCTTTAGCTGGTGCATCTCCTACTAAAATGACTTGAGATATTCCTTCTGGCTATTCACTTTCCTGAACTGCATACCATAGTCCTACTTCTATCGCGTCTTCATAATCTCCACCACCCATAGCAGCAATCGGTTTCGTCTCCCAAGAAGAACTTTGAAGAATTCCCTCTGGCTTACAATCATAATCTCTATATACGACGAATTGCATTTGAAATGCGTCATTAGGTAATCCTTTCTCACTTAAAATACTCGCAGCTCGTTCAAACATTGTGCAAACAGTTTCTTTGGCAGCAGATAGTAAACTTGACATAGAACCTGTGGCATCCATAAGTAAAACTGTACGCGACGAGGCTGTTACTAAATTCGCTCCTATATTTTGATTCTTTAAAAACTCTTTCACTGTTGTAATGTTTGCCCGTGTTTAAAACTGTCATAAAATTTTTCGAAGCGTCGTGGTCTCGTTTACGTTGCTCTATACCAACTCCATTGCTATTACACTTACTCTCGAAAATAGCACCAAGAACCCACTCTAAGTCTTTATCTAACAAAATCATTCTATATGAGCCCAAGTCTCCTTGTCGCGCTCCTCTTCCCATAATCTGATATTCTTCTGATAATTCTTACGAGAAGAATTTTTGAAGTACATGAAGACCTCCATTAGCTAAGAACTGTTGACTATTGCATATAAAGTCAGTTCCTCGGCCAAAGGTTCGTGTCAATAGTGTCACTTTTCCGATGGTCGCTGCACGCTTAATATAAAGTTCTCGGTCCTTTACAGATACTTTCTCCGTTATTATTTGAACGCTCTCTTTAATTGATGATAACTCAGAAGAATGATAAAATTTCATCAGCTTATCTTCAGATTCAAAAAATACAAGAATCGCACGCTTTGCACGGCAAAACACGTCGATTTCTCCACGAATTTCCATGAAATACTCTGTTTCCTTCACGACACGTACATCGCTTGCACAATTGTAGTTGCGTCTGCATTCTCCGAATACTGATGGCATATATGTACTTTTTTTCACCTCATACACCCTTTCAAGTATTTCTTTTTCTGCCTTAGCCAATGTCTTCAAAGTACCAGTTACACCGGTGATATAGGCAAAACCATGAGGCATTTCAGCATAGGAGAAGGCTCCACAGTTGACTATAATGCCGACATTAGTTTCTAAACTGCTCGCACTAATTTTACCATTTTTATTTTCATGATAATACGTCCAAATCGTATCATAGCCACGAACGACGTTCTCTGCTATAGGTTCACCTTCGACATAGACAATTCTATCATTTTGTACAAGATAAGTCGATGACTGAAAAGATTGTAAAGAAGCTATCATGTCCTTGATAGCCTCATCCAGAAGAAAAGTCCAGTTACTGAAATGAGAAGCACATGTAGCATACGCCGGCATGGATTTGATACCATTTAAGGTTCGTATAGTCCTATTCGTCCAGATTGTATCTAATAATGTTTTTATTACAGGATGTTTTAGATATAATACAGGCGTATAGAGCCCACCATAGTATTCCTCACTTAGAAAAACGTCAACTTCATCAATCAACAATACTTTTTGACGTATACGTTTGGTCTCTGCCATTATCTCTAAAGCATTTCTGTTTTTCAGGATCATATCACGCACCTTCTCTCGTACATCGCATTGTTCATTCAAAAGATTTTCGCATAATTTGTTAAAAGTACCATATTCGATATGTTCTTGTATTCCAAGTGCTCCAAATAATGAAGCAAACGCCTCTTTATCGCGAGTGCTTAGAATATCACTATAACAGGAACAATTTACATCAACTCCGATCAGAGCAAAACTGCAGGCAATAGCTGCCGTGATCATTGATTTACCTTCTCTCGTTCCTACCTGCACTAAATTATTAAATAAACTTCTAGCACTTTCACCAGTTTGATAACCTATACCGAGAATACGAAATATAGAAATAACCTGTGCAACATGCGGCTTTAACAGATAAGCTTCGCTAGACTCGATGCCGCGTATCGCATTATAGTGTTCAGTATTTTGCAATGTCCAGATTGCAAAAATATGCGCGAGTAACTGAGGAATTTTCTCCATGAATGTTTCATTTAATGGAAGGGATGTGGACTTTGGTGCTTCTTTGTCAACCAAACATTTAGTAGTTGAAATTAATGTGTGCAATGAATCGACCTGACTCTTTGGGTCAGAGGATTTCATAATTACGGATAAAAGATCTTCATATTTCTTCTTAAACATCTTAAACAGTTCTGTCAGCGTATCTTTATCAAGATCGTCTCCTTCTAAACGCTCTAATATATATTCTAGGTCATCCTGCTTTTGCATTTTTTCACGACGCTTTCGCCAATCTTCTCCTTTAAAAATAGTATGCTCAGACATTATCCGCTGACCAGTATCTGTTCTCTCTAATGTCATACTCAAATCAGTGATATGTTTGGGGCCATGTTTTTCTTTCGACTTTTTTAGTGCTTCATCTATGTCTGTATTGATTTGACTATCAAACATCGGTAGATTTGCAGCAAATGATTTTACTACAACTAACAGTTCAGCGGCTTTTTCCAGATCTTTGCCAGAATTCGCAAATTCTTTACAAACCAATGTTACTTTTTCGAACACTTTTGCCTTGTATGTGTCTACAGTTGAGTGAGTCTCTACATCTGGAAGACTCAAATGTCTATCGAATGCTAGAAGATGCTCGTAATACTTGCGAAAATGATCACATTCTACTTGATTAAGTTCGGGTTTTGATGCAGTATCAAGAAGCTGTTTGCAAATTTTCTTAGCTTTCGCTATGAGATTCTCTTCTGACTCCTTTGCATTGACCGGAGTTGGTAGAACATCTTGAAGTTTAGCATCGATTTCTTTTAGTTTACTAATTGACTTCTTAATTTGACTGAAAAATTCTTCACGTTTGGTTTCAAATTTGGTAGTTTCATCACTAATAAGTTCAACATTTAGTTTAGCCTTTAAACAACTTATTTTCGTTGTAACTTCAGAAATCATATCGGTATGTATGGCTACATTTCGAACGTCTGGGATCAAACTTTTCAGTACACCATCGTTAGTATCGCAGCCCTTAACCTGGTACAAAAGTTTCTGCCATCGCTTCGATATTGTCATAGATATATATAAATCATCGATGGTCATTGTTTCAATAGCGTGGCGATATTTTTCAGAATTATCCTGCAAATAGCCCATCATTCTTTTAAGATCTTTTCTACAGTTATGTACAGCAGTTACGGGTAAGAATTCTTTGTCAGTTGTGCCTAATTTACCAAAAAGATCGACGCAAGCTATGGTATTGCTGAGCGCTTTTTCAGCAATCTCTGGTTTCTCAATCTTTGATATCTCAGCTAGGATTTTTGTGCAATTTTCGAAATTTTTTATGATTGATTTACGAGCAGTGTCATAGATCAGTTGTATTCCTGGAATGTAACTAGATGCCGATTCTTTATATTTGATAATTTTGTCCATGATAGCAAGAGCAGATTGCATATCGTTCTCATCTAAAGACGTCTGCAAGTTTGTTCTAAACGTTTGCAACCTTTTAAAAATGTCGTCATTCATTTTTTCAAAAAACTCATCCAGCTCTTTTTCCTGAAATCTCTTGGCAAGTGCTCCTATTCTTGTAATGGCGTGATCGTGTTCATCTGAACAGTTGAGAGAACTGTCTAACTCACGCTTATAGTCTTGTTCTTCATTTCTGATTTTCGTAGTCATTTCCTCTATATGCGCTTTGAATGGCGCTTGTAACTCGTCTGGTATAAAGCATAACGCATGATTTATGGGACGTAGCTTTGCAGAACGTTGCTTCATAGGAACCCTTCCGGCTTCTTCTATTGCCTGGCTAAAATCTTGCTTAAGTTTTCCCAACAAAGTAGTGTAAGCTGGTTGATATTTTGTATTATGGGAGGAAACTGTTTTTAATCTAGCTAAAAGATCTTTAGATGGGTTCACAAAGTAGTCTTCAATATTTGTAAAGTGATACCGAACCAAAATTTGATCAACTAAGCTAACCAATTTTTCTCTTAGTTCTGTTGTTTTTTTATCAACACGATCCGATGTAAAATAGCCTATCAGTTCACGCTGAACATGACTAATATTTTTCATGCCTTGTTCAGCCTCAGCAAAGTGATCAGTAACCATAAGTTTTTCAATAGAACAAAGTCCTTTTAAAATAATTTCCGATAAAATTTCATTGATATCGGCGTCAAAGTTGTTAAGATCACTTTTAGTTTTTACTTCGAGCAAATCTACAATGTTGCTTCTAGACAATGCCATTTGAATTTTCTCAATATTATCTTTGATTCTCTTTATTTCCTCCCTATTATCTTCCTCTTTTTCGATTTTCCCATGTAGCCAATGCGCCATACATTTCGTATCTTTCATCAACTTAGTTAGCGAACTCTGTAATGCGTGCTGAATCTGCGCTATAGCTTTCTGATTTAAAGGTTTGCCATCAATCTCAGATAGCCAGATACTTGCATTTGCATAGTCCCACTCTGATACGTAGTTTAACACATTCCTGTAAGCATCTCTAACATCCTTACCCATGTCTACGTGATACTTCGTGTATAAGTCTTTAAATCTAGTATTACCACAAAATTCATCCAAGCAGCTCAATGTTTGCACGATGTTTAATTGCTTTCTCAAGTTTCCGTTGTCGTCTTTATATTCTTCCATCTTACCACTCAAAGTACGATAACGATCAAGAAATTCTCGCTTCCAGTGTTCAATTTTCTCGACTCCGTTAATGTATTTGTAAACTTCATCAAATCTACTAAGTGAAGATAATTCTTCTAAACGCATGTATAATTCATGAGAATACTGAAGAGGACCTCCTTCAACATCACTATCACTTGCACTCTGATATAGTCTAGTTATTTCTTGGTTCAAGAAGCAGCCATATTCACTTATATATTTTTGCAAGATCTCATTAGTTTCAGTTGCGATCTCTTTAACCCGGGAATCTCCTACTTTTTCGCATTGAATTATATACAGTAATGCATTATTTGCGACAGAACCATTAAATCTACCGCTAAATTCATATGCTTGCCTATTTTTCTCACGTTCAGAAATACTTTTCTTCTTCTCTTCAATTTTCGCGTTCAATGATTCAATACTTCTTTGCTGTTTCTCTTGAAGATATTTCGTTCCTTCAGAAGAAACAGAATCACTCCTTACTAATAAGAATAATTTATATTGTTCTCTTATGTTTTCAAGGCGACTTAATGTATCACTGAATGCTTGACAGCTCTGTTGAATCAGTTGTAACTTCTTGTCATAATCTTTTTCTATGTTCAATTTAGCTTCATATACATCATCTATTTTCAGAAAGCCCTGCTCCTTTAAATAACTATTTTCCTCAACGTTCCCTTTCTGAAAAACCGCTGCTACTTTGGCCACGGCTTTTTTCGCTCTACTTTTATCTGAGTTTTTCTCTGTAATCGACATGTATCGCTGAATAATAACCTGCAATTTATTTATCTCTTCTTTCTTGTTAATTTTCATAACCTGTTCCTTATCATTGTCTGCCTTGAGCTTTTTGGTAACGTCTTCAATCTCACTATTTAGTTGATCTATGTTCGAATACTCTTGTTCTTGTAAATATTTTTGAGCTGGATGCAAACTTTTGTATTCGCTTCTAATATTTTGAAGTTCTTTGAGCTGTTGTTTTAAAGTATAAACATCTCTGTCTTGCAGATTAAAAGTCTTTTGGATACTATCGAATGCTTCTTGTGCAATTTTACGAAACCAATCTAGAATCCTATCCCTGTACTTCTCAAGATCTGGAACGCTACCGTCCAAAATTTGCATAGACTCGACTTTCTCAATAATATCCTGTGCAAGCGCTACATTTTCAGGATGTCTCAAATGAAAATCCAGTCTCTGCAACTGCTCTTCCAATTTTTGCGCATTTCCAATTAAATCTTCTCTAATGCAACGCATCAAAGTCTCATACGCTCCTGGACTGACACGATTGATCCATTCCGCATTTTTTAATCGTGACGATGATCGTGCAAGATGTGAATAATTGGTGCTACCTGACTTTTTGTCCATGTCAGCAAGCAGCTGCTCGGCATCCTTTTGCAAGTGTTGCATATATCCACGTACATTTTCGACAGTGCGATAATACGTTCCAGAAGTTTTTGCTTCAATTTCTGGTATTTTACGAATAGTGTCCATATCACTGACCAATTTTTCGATTTGTTCTAAAGCGTAGTCACCGTTTTTCTCAAAAAGCTCTTTAATTCTTATGTTAATCTGATCAAAATATTTGACAATTTTTTCGATGAAATCATTGTAAATTTGGTTCAAATTCTTGAAATTATCAGACAAAGTACCAGGTCCATTTTTTAGCATTTCTTCGTAAGTTAAAAAGCGATCCTGAAGGGTTGACGTTTCTTTAGCTGATCTCAATATGTCTATATATTCATTGAGAGTTTTTACATCGTTATCATTTAATCGAACCTTGTCTAAGATCGGTTCTGCTTTTTCGCTGAAATTATTCAAATGATTCAACAGTAGTACAAACGTGTCTCGATACTTATCTTCCATTTTCTCACTCAAATGAGCTTTGAGAACACGTGATGATTTATATATTGCGAGAATAATTTCTGCAACCTCGTTGAATTCATTGGTTAATATAAAATCGTGAGCAGATTTCACTAATACGTCAAACCGGTCGTTGAAATCTTTACAGCTTTTACAGTAATCTAGTTCAAGTTCTTCAAACGCGGCTTTTAGCATATAAATGTTAAGTAAAAATATTTCTACTGAAGGACAATATATATCATTTCCTTCCAGATCATGGCGTCTTTCCCAAAGTTTAATATGGATGTTTTGAAGAAGTGCTGCAGACGATACTAAGCCCGATTGTAGATGTTCTCCTAATTGTTTGTGAATGGCTTGAATATATTCAACAGCATTTTTGTATTCCCGAATATCGTCCTCTCTCAATCCATCTTGACTTTCGAAAGCACGATTAATTTTTTTCATTATTTCTGAGCAATACTCATCAATATTCTCGTTTATAAATCGTACAGACTTTTCATATGCGTCTTGGACGAAGCCTTCCTTTGTCAAGTCCTTTAATACTTTCAAAATATCCAAGTAATATTTAACGAGATCAATATTTTTATGTTTTGCTGCACATCGAATGCTCATTTCATAGCGTTGAGCTTCATTTGCAATAGTCCTATACGTGTCTTCACTCAAAGAAAATCGAAAAGCTCTTGCAGGACACGAAATACCTTTTGCTCTCTTCAATTTTCCAATTAAAGATTTCCGATCGCAATTGATAGGACCTATTTTCTGAGCTTCCTTCTCGGTTTTATTAATCATGTCTTTTAGTACTGCCCAGACAGACAAAATTTAAAAAAAAAAACGGTGAAATACCCGTAGAAATTTTAACGAAAATAAAATTGTAAAAACCGCACATTTCTACGATTTTTATCTCCGTTAGGTTCTCTACGATAATGAACGCGTTTAAAATCTACGCATATATACCATTTGCAAATCTACGCATTTTTGCTGTTTACAAATCAACGCGTGCTTAACGCATGAAAATGTGCGCTTTTCGCGACTTTTATCTACGTTAACTTTTCTACGCAGATTAATGCTTTCAAAACCTAACCGTTTTCATCCGTTCGAAAACTACACCTCTTTACCATTTATAAATCCACGCATTCTTAACGACTCAAAATGCGCACTTTTCCGATTTTCATCAACGTTAACCTTTCTACGTCGAATAACATATTGGCATACGTTACCAACCTGGGTATCTATTAAGACGATATCCGTTTGGGAATTTGTTCACACGTTACCCACTTAGGTATACCAAGTCGGTAACGTGTAAACAGATACCCAGGTGGGTAATGTATAAACACATACCCAAACGGGAAACGTATAAACAGATACCCAGTTGTATAACGTATGAACAGATACCCAATCGGGTAAAATATAAACAAATACCCAAATGGGTAACGTATAAACAGATACACAGATGCGTAACATATGAACAGATACTCCAACGGGTAACGTATGAACTGATAATGGATTTGGAGTGCAGGATCTCGATAAGCTATAGGAAACTTTGATCAGAATTGAGACTGAAGTTGAAGTAAAAAATCTACGTTGTGAATTTTGGACCCCTGCGCGGTGCATTTTCTCAGCCATGAAAGCTCGGATACAAAAACTGATGATGGATTTGAGCTCCGGGGCCCCGATAAGCTACAGGAAACTTTGATCAGAATTGAGACTGGAGTTGAAATAAAAAGTCTAGAGTGTGAATTTTGGACACTAATTCGACCGATTTTCTCAGCCATGAAAGTTCAGAGGGGAAAACTGATAATATATTTGGACTCTAGGGCCTTGATAAGCTATAGGTAAGTTTGACATAGATAATAAACTGGTGAAGAGTTAATTGCAAAACTATGAAAGCTTCGGATAGTGTACGGAACGAACACTGGTTCCGTTGACATTTTACGAGATCTTTTCTAACTCAATAAAACGTGCCCATAATTGAATGCATTTATCAATGTAAAAGGAGCTAAATCAACGCTAGTTAACGAAGATTTTCTTAGTGCGAAAAAATTTGTCGATGAATGTACGGTGAGAAACGGATGAAGAGTGCATGAAAACAGCGTTTTTACAGATTTCTAGCCCGTTTTTACGCGTATTTTTTAGGGTCGTGTCTGTCTGAGTGCTGCGAAAGCAGTATCCGATTTTAAATGAGGCTCTGTATCCACTAGCCTTTCTTTAATATTCAGCATGTGAGCATGAATATCAGTTGTCGAAGGATATTTTGTAAATGTATAATTTATAGCATCCAGCCGATCTTCTTTATTTTTGATCATTTTTATTCAATATGTGCGCTAGTTCTTGAATGCCTTGTGCTCTGTCACCTAAGGCCTTAAAACTTGATAAAGCAAGTATTTTGACATTCTTACAGCCCTTGAGAGCCTCTACAATCCCTACGCCATTTGCAATGTCTACCTCGGGACCTGCTGTGTCACCAAAGCCTGGTGCATCACACAAAATAATATTTCCAGTCTCACCACGACCAAGTATATCCGCTAAAGGTATTGCTACAGGTGTAATATATCTGGTCTCCGATTGACACTCCGGATTACCTATTACATCTTTCACCCCAGGATAGTTTGAAACTTTAACTGATATTATATGATTCAAAAGTCTTTCAGGCGCAACTTCTACGGGGGCTTCTTTTATCTCACAACCTGCAAGAAATTGAATTGTGGTTGATTACCAGCTCCAGTCCCACTAATTAGCACAATAATTTCTTTGTCACGGATTAACTGACCTGCCTCTTTCGTCCTTGCTACAAGTCTCTTTAATTTCTGAATATGTAACGGCCGGATCTTTTTTAAGAATTCTCCCAGAACCTTTACTGCTGACTGACTAATGCTAGCATCTGTAGCTATTTTTACATCCTGAAGACTAATTCTGATGTCGTTCGAAAACAATTCTTGTTCGTTAACCTGATCGTGCAGCTACTCCAACAATGCAGTTACTGTTTCTCTCTGTGAGCCCATAGGATCTCCAAGTAGTGCACGTTCAAAATGAAGCAGAAGTTCAATAGTAATTTTTTCAGCATAGGGAGGCGTAGTGGCCAAATCTTCATGCAGCATTTACCGATACAATTGCTTTTTGTTTTTGTGATTGGGAATCATATTTGTGGGCGGTTGGGACGCAACTGGTATTTGCTTTTGAGTTTTGAGAATTTCCTCCATTAATCTATCAAAATTTGTTTTCATTGTTCCTGTTTTAATCATGTTAAGACCCTGAATCCATCCATGTTCTGTAACGCAACCCAATGCCAGTTCGTACAAATTGCTTCTATTCAATACTCCACTCTCTTTCAAGATTCGAAAGAGTTCGTTACGATAATATTCTCGAAGAGCTATAAATACTGAACCATCGAGTTTTTTATTAATCATTTTTGCCAATTACTTATTCATTATGTATTCAATGATATTTTCTGTATGTTGTGGATGTGAGTGTGGTATGTGGTTTTGAGTATCAGAAGATGAAAATTCAAACCCACACCCACACCCACACCCACACCCACACCCACACCCACACCTACACCCACACCCACATCNAAAAAGAATCAATGCCAAGCGTTTATTATTCTGTCCTTTTCTTTTGCAGTGTACGCACACATCCATGCAAACCTAGTAATGAAGAAATCGCAAGGCAAAAATTTATATAGCTGAGTTGGAAGAGAGACTGGTAGAGAAATAGTTGCCTTATTTTAGAAACCGTGTAAAATTTCCCCGAATTCTGTTGTGTGCGTAACTTTTGTGATTTCGACAAGTGCGTCTGGAGCCTTGAAAAATGTGACGTGAGTCAATAAAATTCTCTTTTGCATTGCCGATTTTGCTTGTATTTATTTAATGTGTATCCATGGTAAAAGAAAAATTATCGGCCTATAAGAGCTGTAGCAACATCTGCGCACTATACATTTTTCACTGAATCAAATAAGCGATTCTTTTTTGTCACGCATCATTGCAAGGAATAAAATGGTTACATCGCTTCGCAGCTTTGCTCTTGGTTGCATTGTATTTTTGCGTGAGTATATTGAAATATATATTTACATTTTAGTATAGTAGTAATTGAAGTGGTGAAAAAGTTAAAATCGTATTAAATTTAGTTTCGCAGCAAGTTGTTACCGGTATAACGTGTTACTCTTGCACCGCTTGTAGTAGCACCAGTGGTGCATCAACTGTCAGTTCATCGGTCAGCGGTGCACAATGCTACGTGAGTATTACAACAGTGTTTTTGGATTCTTTGCTAAGAGATGAATTCACTTTTCTATCATTTCAGACATATACTTACAGTTCTTACTACTACACTTACTACAACCTTGGTGTTTCAACATCTTGTTCGTCACTTGGAAGTGGCTATAGTTGTTGCTCAACCAACCTTTGCAATGCTGGTACTTCCAAATTCAGCTCACGTAACTTGGCTTTTGCTCTTTTGGCTGTTGCTAGCACCGTTAGAGCGATTATCGCCCATTGAGAACAACATATCTTCATCAATATGAACTTAACATGACCCAGTTATTCGCCGTTTTCATTTTGCTCATGTGTGTTCCAATCTGACTAGATAGAGAATTTTTATTTATTTATTTACCTGTTTTGTCCTTCTTGAAATAAAATACACTGATCTCTATTCCAGATACACCAGAAAAAAGGCTACATACGAAACCCACAGTTTCGGTGTACTTTCTTATGCTTAAAATGGTATCAGTCGCACAGGCAAAGCCTCAAGAGAGTTTGGTGGTATACAAACTCTACAAAAACTTATTCAATATTTAGTATTCAAAAGGCGGTGTGTGGATGTGGATGTGGGTGTGGGTGTCGGTATCGGTGATGTGTGCACATGTCTTCTTCTACACCCACACCATTCGATATTGGCATTGTAGTATTAAGCTGCTTATGCTTGAATCAAGTTTGCATATCGAAGAAAACTACTCATCGCTTATTGATCGATTAGCATGTTATCAATATATATCTTTAAATAAATTAATTCGTTTTTATTCTATTAAAAGATATTAACCATGCTATCGAATTTTGCAAAATAGAACCATTTGAAAACAATCTATATAATTAATATATATTTATAATTATAGAAATAAAAGACGTTTAAAGAGAAGAAAAAGAAAGAATAACAATGTCAATGTTATCATATCATCATCATATATCGTTTCAGTTTTGTTTTGATTAGTCAATCAAATCGACTAATGAAATAATAAGCTAGGAGCGTAACCAGGGGGTCTAGGGGTCTCAGCCACACTACAGAGGTCTTAGCCCCTCCTAGAAAAAATAAGTTTAGCCGCCCCTGTTCCCCTACAATTTTTTCTGGTAACACCCCTATAATAAGCGTTCTTCCGTTAAATAAAATTTTGATAAAATAAATTTTCTCATGAAATATAACTAAAACTAAAAGAGTTGTTTTTTTGCTAATTCTAAACAATGATTGGACAAGAGCATATTTATTTTTCCATGTTTATTTTTAAGTGATCGAATATTTATTTGTATGAAACATAACTAATCGATTTCTTTTAATCCTTTCAATCCCGTCATTTTCTTACGTCCTGTATGAAGAAGACAAAAAAGAAGTTCAATCCCTCTGTTTTGCGTTCTGTCGTCACGATCAGCTGTATTTGACTCTATATATATTAAATTTAATATACATATACACTGTCAAATATAGAATGTCTATATGAATTTGCAAACGATATTCTAGAAATACCAAAAGGAGTTCAGTGATAAATTTCTACTTTTTTGAAAACAAAATCCTGGTATTCAAGTTTCAATTTAATGCAGGAAATCAAATTGAATTTCAATTATTGAGAAAATCAAGCATTGTCTAAATAATAGAAATTCGATGAATGAATGATAAAAGTTTGAATGCTTTAGTTACTAAACTTGATTTTCTACAAAATAGAATTTAAAAAAATTACAGCATAAACTCATTTTGGTGTCATTTAGACCCTTCGTCTTTTTCTTAGAAGACAACATATGAAATACGTCGTCGAAGAAGATGACATGCGGGATTGAAAGGGTTAATTATTAGCTGTTTCATCTCCTCTAGAATTCTCTTTCTTTTCGGTTTAGATTAAAATATTCACACAAAAAATAATCTTGCTTGATGGGAATAGTTGTACTTGAACAATCTAATTCGGTGGCTCATTTTGTTCCACTGTACCTTCAAAATCAACAATTAACAAATCAAGTTTTTTTAATAAAGCATGATCCAACAGGTCCAAAAGATGCTCATACGAGTGTACTTGTTGATGTCGCTGATACATCAACAGCCACCAACATTAAAGGTGTCTTATGTCATGTTGTAGTTAACACCAATAATGGTCAAATTACTCATTCTACAAGTTTCAAATGTGACTATCGGGAGTCACCAAAATCACGATTAACATTGATATACGTTGAAAATCTTGCAGAGAGTAAGTATATAGGTGGTGTTGAGTCATTACCACACTATTTTAATAATCCATGAGTCAATCAGCCATCTTTTAGTTTTCTGAGCACAATATGTTTTTAGCTGCAAAATGATATTCATCAACATTTAATTAATCCTCAAATTGCAGTTTCTTATAAACAATCATTACTTTATTCTTTAGTAAAGTTTATTATTTGCATCACTTTCTAATGTTACTTTTTTAATTTTTAGACAAGTTATTTATATTCTCAGATGGCTGAACTATATGAACAAAAATAGAGTACACAGTCTAAATTGTCAACAGTTTACTCGACGTTTTATCGAAGAAACAATAGGTTTAAACTGGCCAGATGGTGTTTTAGTTGCTGGTGACGTATTACCGGTGATGATTAACGTTAATGTATTGTATGTTTCTTCGAAAACCAGAAAAAACGTTAAAGGAATAAAAACACAGAATATCTGTTACTTTTTTTATGGACTAGTGTATTAGTACATTTAGATTTGATTTAATATTCTTTCTGATAGTTAAATGAAATACCAGAAGTTAATATGAATATTAAACAAACAAATGACAGTTATTGTTATGTGTATAACTATCGGTAACTTAAATTGATGAATATAATGAATCACAATTGTATTCGTGTGCTACAACTATTTGATTTAACCATCTAATAGGATGTCCAGTCTTTTTTCTTATCTATGATTTATTTTCAACTTAATAAATTCTCTTATTTAATGCTTAAAACCATTTCATACTTTTTTTGGCCGTGATGTTTCAGTGACAACGATAAAAGCATTAGCACTAGATTATCGTAATGATGTTTTATTTAATTATATAGCACTCATTTTTGGCCTTCCCAGTGAAAAAAAATGTCCTCCATAATCGAGATTTTTCTTGATTATTGTAGAGAAAATCCGATTTTTAAAAAAATCGCCCTTTTCCTACCAAATAATCTGATTATAATCGATTGAAAAAAACCCACCCAGGTGAAAAACTCGGACGAAAGATCTGATAGCGTCTTGCGAGCTCGTACACATATAAGATTTTTTGTACGATCTTGATATAAAATCCTACAATATCGTATGTGCTCATTTTTTTAAAAGATTTTATCAGATTCTAATTGAAAGATATCCCGAAAAATCTTACAAGATTCTTAGACTAAGAAACATAAGAACAAATTAAATGTCTCTTGTCCGATCTTATCAGATCCAATAAGATTCATATATAAAAGAAACATACAGTCATTTGTAATGCAAATCTTGCATGGTCTATACGATCGTATAGGATCCATTCTGTTGTGTTCTAATGCAACAGTTGTTCATCGAATCTTCTTTATTATACAGAAATGCATTTCAACAATAATAAAATTTTGTTGCACAAATCACGATCGGATAGTATTGAACTAGTAAAATGCCTTACAACTTGATAAAAAAAACCTTTTGCATTGAAGCATAATCAAACCGCTGATTTGTCTTTGAATTTTGGTACTTTTTATTTAAAATATTTTGGGGCAGGAAAAATCAAGGGGGGAAGTGCCTCCTGGGTCATAGTGGATTCAGACAGCTCCTTATCGCTGTCACTTACTTTCTTTTTAGTCTAATATAATGACTCATCCCGTTAGACTAAGTTGCTTTTTAAAATTTTCTATTGTAGCTTCTTGGATTGATATTCGTCTTCGCAACACAAAGTCTCGTAATCATTAACATCCTGCGCAAGCTTATCCAGCAACTCTATTTGCTGTCATGGGAAAAGTTAAAAAAATAACTTGTAAATTCCATGAAACACATGAAAGTTGAATTTGTTTTCATAAAAATATGGGATAGAGTGATGGATTTATTAACTACGTAGTAAGTAACAATAATTCATGTATTTTTCACTTTTTGCTATAGCATTCACAATTGTATTAAAAATAAAACGTGCACATAGCTGTCAGTTCATATATTTGAACCGATCGTTGCAAACCGAGTCATACTGATGTACTTGTTAGAACTTTGCAATTTAACATGAAGAATTAATTAATACACAGACAAAGTCATGGGTAGAAACAAAATAGTATTCTTCGCTTCAACAGCACCGTCTATATTACAAAAAGGCTAAATAACTTTTTTTAGAACTATTATAACACATGCCCAGTCATAGAGTAATATGACAAATAAATCCTTCGATTCTTCGCTTTGTCTACAATAAAATCTATAAGTCTTTTTTGTAAGCATTTAGATACAAGAAACGATATATAGACCATTTAGATCTTTGAAAAAATGAATGGTCACTTTCGTAATTTTTTCAAAACACGATGAAAATCATAGATCCTACGCATATGAGTCTCGCTGTTCTCCTTAGCAACTGCAAACTGTTTAAAATGTTGAGGTAAACTCATTAATCAAAATGGATCCTGGTGGATTCTAGAATTCACCAGGAGCCGCTTTTTTCCCTTGTATTTTTCACTGGGAAGACACATACCCATACTCTTAATATATATTTAAATTTTTTTAGCGCTTGTCGTATTCATCACACGTTTTTTAATATCTCACTGCGTATCGTGGGTATTTTTCGTTTCTTATCATCAAAATTTAAGAACAGATATTTAAAAAATAACTTTTTTCTCTTTCGTTTGCATTCCGCCAGCAATCATCACAAGAGCACAAGTACACGCACATGGCGTTGTCGACAACAAAACGGTCACTGTGTAAAAAATGTAGCAAGACGCTCAGCATTTTCATCTGTCCAGGGTGTCAAAGCGATTTATGCACAGAACACGCAAATGAACATCGGGAAGAGTTAGCCAGACAATTGGAAAAAGTCGTTCTTGATCATGATCAATTGACACAGTTAATTGTCGATCAAAAATCTGAACCTCATCATCATCCTCTTATGAAACAAATCAATGAGTGGGAAACGCAGTCTACCGCCAAGATTCATCAGGTAGCAGAGGATGCTCGGACACTATTGTTGGATGGACTCAACACACATACGAACAACATATCAGAAGCATTGAAACGTATCACACAAGAATTGACTAAGGCCCGTACCGATAGTAATTTTATCGAGACAGAACTGGTAGAATGGACAAAGAAGCTAAATGACTGTAAGAAGAACTTGCAAGAATCTTCAACGATCGGTGTTCATCAGGATGATAAAACTACGTCATTCATCTCAAAGATCTTCGTCAGTGTGACAGCAAATGATGTTTTTGATCGACTGATTGGCGAAATTCAAATCGAGGAGATGGGCCATGTTATCGTCCAACGTGCATCCCCATATTCTCACACGGCGGTACTAGGTAAATTTGAATATACAACAGGTGAACATCGATTTCGCTTCAAGGTCGAACAGTACCATGAAAACAAATGGATTTTTTTCGGAATCCTTTCTAAGAATGTAACTTTGCAAGCGTGTCCACACACCACTTCGTCGTCGTACGGTTGGGTGGCCAGAGGAAATGAAGTAGTTCTCAATGGAAGCTGTCAACCGGGCTACAATGGCTACAAAAATGAAATGAAAGTCAATGACACAGTCAGTTTATGCGTTAATTGCGCTGAGCAAAATATTTCTTTGGTCAACGAACGTACGCAATGTAAATACGAAATACCTGTTGATTTAAGCAAATGTCCTTTTCCATGGCAACTTTATCTCGGACTTTTTTATTTGGGCGACCGAGTCCGCATTTTACCGTGATAATTTTGCGAAAGAATGAGGTGTGACTGTGGAGTGTGACTATGTCTATGCCTATCTTTCTTCTCTCGAGATACACTCACACCTTAGTTTCTTCTTCATCTCACGCGTTTGTTTTCAGTTTCTGTGCTAATCTTTTCAATACTTATTTAGGATCGGATTTCATAAAATTTGAAATCTTTCTGTATTTGAGAGATGGAGTGCTTATGTGGATGATGATGATGCACTTTATTCTAGTCGTTAACGTATAAAACATACGTTTACATACGCAAGTAGAAGATGAAATGTTAAAAGGAAAGGAGAAAAAGTGAAGGAAAGAATAAGCATGAAAGAGGAATGATATACAAACAGAAAGGTAAGAACAATATTGTAATATATGAAACGATGACAAGGGAAGGTTGAACATTATATATATACATATAAAATTTATTGAACCGTGAGTGTCAAAATTATTTCGGTGTTTGAATTGTGCATCATCCAAGCTTAGGTTTTAGTTAATATTTGATTTTTGTTTGTCGTGCCCATGCCGTTTATATGAGTACAGTCATGTTTTCATACGCACACGATGGATCGCGTCTCTGATTAAATCAAATGTATTCTTTTTTCTTCAAGCAATCATCTTTCTGGTAGTACATAACGTTTTTAAGACTATTACTACTATCTGAAAAATCAAGTATGTTCCTGAAGAGTTTGTTTACAATGCTCATAATTATTGGCTCACTGATTTTGGCTACACAGTCCGTGACTCTTTCATCTTGTAAGTAAGATTAACATTTATGAATATTTTCCACTAGTGTAGAAGCATGTTTAAAAAAAGCTTTTTGTTTCTGTTGTAGATTATCAATGTCGATTAGGATTGCGTTCATGGACCTGCGGAGGTAATTACCAGCAGTTATTTTCCTTTTTTTGTGACATCCAGTCATCTTCTATTTAGGTGGGCAAATATGTGGTAATAACTCTTACCCATGCGTTGATCCACCGAATCATGGGAAAACCAGTAAAATAGAAAAATTAGTGGTTCCCTTCGCCATCTTCATACTAGTAGGTGCTGTCGTATGTGCTTATTCTTGGTTTAGTCAAAAGCAATCAGCGAACCGAGGGCTTGATCAACAAACTCAAGCAGCCATTCCTGCAAGAAATCAAATGAGAGCTGTGTATTGTATCAGTAGTCACCCGTCAACTTTTATTAACCCTCCTGTCGCAGAACAATTTCCACCAACTTACGCGCAATGTATGGACCAGACAATCATTAAATGACCGACAAGGACAAACAGAAATATATAAAAACATTCATATTATGAATACCACCGCAAACACTTAAAAACTTTCATCAAAGGGAGATGATACACAGGTTGCTACGAAATGAAAACAAGTTCCAGAAATTAAACTTCTATATTATCATTACTCTAATAAATAAAATTTACATTTTCATGAAAATTAAGTTTGCATCGTGACCCTACTCTGTAGTGCATATACATACAAGAGCCACTTTCAGTCGTGCTCTATACAAAAAAAATGTAGACAATATATGACAAATATTCACCATCGCTTCCTGTAGTGTTCTATCAGTAAAAATTGCTTTACTTCTCATCGGTGCTTTGATATAATCTCAAGTAACGTTACATCTGCTACGTCAAAGCTGTGATATGACTGGTTTTATTTTTATCAGTATGGTGTGATAAAGAGAATATAATTCATGACTAGTGTTTACCCTTATTTTATATCGTCACCTATAAAAAAAGAGTACTTCTCATCGTATTCTCTGTGATACGATAAACGATTTGAAAAAAAAACAGATAGCATGTCCTACCACACAATTTTAGTAGCTCTTATTATTTTTTATTGCGGGTTTAAATGGTAAACCAACAACAACATCACTCACGCATGAACTGATTGAACCAGAACGTTGTTGTGTATCAAAACAATTTAGTGCACAGTTAAGTACATCTACTGCTATGGCATTGCCAGATGGTACAACGTATAGTTCATATGTAAGTTAGCCCGACAATAGATGCTTTGATCTAAAATGTGATCTTTTAATGAAATAGGCATATTACAATTATTCATACGATGCGGATCGTGCCATGGTTGGAATGAAAGGTGTATCATTTATGCTACCAGATCTACATAAGTCAAATCTGTGGATTATTGAAAATATAAATGATGGACAAATGTATGTGATAGATCAAGATTCCAAAAGATGTGACAAATCACCAATGCCGATCAAACCACTTAAGTGTATACCAGGTATATTCATGTTTTATTTTAATAACAATAAGACTATGTTTTTTTTTGTTCCATTGCAGATACAGCAACTTACTTACATTCATCGACGTTTGGATATGGCGATAAGCAAATTATTGGTGATACATGGCTTGTAACAGTGGACGACACAGTGAATTATGCCACGGTTAGTCGTGATGGTCTTTGTGTTCCATTGACTGGACATTCCTTCTTTCAAAAACTTGGTAACTAACTATTTCATAGAAAAACAAGAGATAAATTTGTGTTATAATACATTTTTTGTACGATAATTTTAGCTATGGTAAATGCAGCAACAACAACAGACTTCGTGCCAAAAGTTGATGATCCAAGTATATTTGATATTCCAGCGGAATGTCACAGCGCTATCTAACTTTCAATTTTTCTCTCTGAAATCGACATACGGAAAAACTCTTTTACATTGTATTTTTTTTATGAAATAAAGATTCTTAAAAAACTATCTATCAGAAAACGAAATGCAAGGTCTAAAATGTAAACAGATGTCTCGTAATTAATGCATGTACTGTGAATTCAAAATTGATAAGCATAATTACACGCACGTGTCAATACTTACGAATGATTATAATTCATATTGAATCGTTTTCATTTGAAAGCAAGCAAACGGGATATTAATAGAAGAAAATTGTTTTCTTAGATATTCGAACATACAGAAAACAGAGATAGATTGAAATATTTGCAAGAATAAATAATACTGATTTAGAATCCCTGGGAACTAACAGGTGCTTGTCTCTGTTGAATAAAAACAATAGAAACAAGTATTATTTCAGTTAAATTAAAACAAGAAAAAATAGAACAGCAAATCAAAATGCTTCGCATTGTTTTTGTTTTTTTGCTGACGACTGTTGTTTCAAGTTCAGCTTATCGCCCGGTTGTTCTTATGCATGGCATTATATCAAATGCTGCTGGCATGGAAGAATTAGCTGGCTGGATTCGAACATCTTTTCCTGGTACGTATGTTCGATCAATAGAAATTGGTAATGGTAAAACCGATTCATTTTTAATGCCAATAAATAAACAAATTGAAGAATTTTGTGGCACTATTTATTCGGATGATCAGCTTCGTCAAGGTTTTAATTTACTCGGGTATTCACAAGGAAGTATGATTGTACGTGGTGCAGTTGAAAGATGTTCCTTACCTGTTTATAATCTAATAACATTGAGCGGTCTTCATCAAGGCATTTTCGGTATACCATATCTTTTACAACTTCCAGAAGAATATCGTGAACTAATTACGAAATATGCATATGAATATCAAGTACAAAATCTAGTTAGTTCAGCAAACTATTGGCATGATCCTTATCAATTAGATAAATATATATCTGACTGTAATTTTCTTCCGGATATAAACAATGAAGGTGAAGCACGAAATGAAATCTATCGTAACAATATGCTAAAATTAAATGCATTCGTTATGACTATTTCTGATATTGATGAAGTTATTGTACCAAAAGAATCAGGTTGGTTTATGGGTTATAAACCAAATTCTCTTGCTGTTGAAACATGGAATAATTCAAGACAATTTACAGAAGATCTTATTGGTTTACGAACATTATGGGAACAAGGGAAAATATTTACATTTACTTCACATGTACGCCATCAAGATGTGACACATGAGCCAAATCGAGATTTTATTCTTGAAAATATTTTTCCATTTTTTAATAATACAATTTCTTAGATCCTAAGTAAATCTTTTTACGAAAGAGAATATAATGAAATGCAACGAAACTCTTTCGAAGATCATCGTTCAGTTTTGATTGGTGACAAAATCCAAGCAAACACGTATCATATCACACATCAGTGACCAACTTTGTTGTATTTTTTCTCTTGGTATATAGAGGAAAGAGAGTGAATGAGAAAAAATCATCAGTTATTTCACGTCGATAAGAACGAAACAAGTGGGAAAAAATGTCAGCAGTTTAATATTTCAGCACAAAAAGAAAATATATCGTCTTCTGATTCAAATTCAATGAAAACTAGTACGATTCACATATTGAGCAATTTATAGGTCTGAAGAGTATGTTATTCAGTTAGTGGACGACAGACGAACGTGTGAAAAAAATCAAGGGTGGATTCTGTGGATGTGTTCTTGGTCATCACTCACATTTATCATGTATTCATCATATTCGATTAAGAACTGATAGTCATGCAGCATTTTTCGACGGATGGATGAGAGATTGAGGGTGCATTCGCCATGGACGGGATTTAAATTTTAGTGTGTACAAATTTGAAAGAGACAACAATATATACGTACGTATACCTTAGTTCTCGAAAAATTATTCAAATTACTGTTTTTTAACTACCTTTATAACCTCACATAAACTCTTAATCCGAACACACTAATTATATAAGCGAATTCAAAATGATTCCTAGTATTGGATATACTATCTTTTAGATGCTGCACTATCTGAACTATCAAACGAGTTTTGCATCTGTATGGGATATTAACTATGATTATGAGCGATTCCAGTGTGGAAGGTCTTATGACATAGTTCATGACAAACTTTGGCATCGTTATTCAAATGAAGCATTTTTATTTCTATTCATAGACAATTGTATGTTGTCATATAGTTTTCGAGAAACGATCGTTTCACCACTTGGGTTACTTATCATGTTACGATAATGATGAATTTCTATTTATTAAAATTAAATTTCATTTTTTTGCATTAAATAAAGACGAATTGGTCTCGAAAGAGTCAATTTAATCAAATCAAAATTTATAGTTGCATGATTGTCATTTCTAAGTTCTGTTTTACTATAGCATTGAATTAATTTATGACGTAATGTAAGTAGCATATCTTGATATGCTTGTTCACCATTTTGTTTTCTAAATGTTTGGCAAGCTGATGTCGCTTCGATAAAACCAAGAAAATGTTCAATTGTTGTTTCAATTTGACATTCGATTGTATATTGACATAATGTTGATTTATATGGGAAAATTGGTACAAGTGATTCATAATAATCATCAATCAATCGTTGTTTTGCATTCCAATATGGAAATAACAAACCATGATGAAACTCATGATAAATAGAATCAGCGATTGGATTATCCAATGTGCCAAATGTATAAGTCCATATAGCTAATACACCTGTATGTGGTTTAAGTACGCGTTTTGCTTCTTCAAGAAATGTTTCTACATCAAGCCAATGTAATGCTGTTGCAGCTGTAATTAAATCAATTGAATTTGATTGGAGAAATGATAAATCTTCACCAGTATTACATCGATATTCGACATTATCTTTTGATATTGCATGAGCCAATTGATCCGTACTAACATCTATACCGATGATTCGTTCACAAAATCTTTTAAGAAATAAAAAAACATTTTTTTTGTTTATTTTTTATTAAAAATTTACTCAATTAAGATTAAGATATTTACGGACTAAGATCTACTGTTGCTTGACCACTTCCACATCCAATATCGAGTGAAAGTGGAATTTTTTCATTTTTCCTTTTACCATGAAAGTAGTAATCAGTGATATGTTCGAATAGTTCCTTTGGATAACTAGGTCTATGAAGGCGATACTTCGACGTGTGATCTTCACCGTCATATAGATGATGGCTCATAACTGCTCTTTTTTCATCTAATCTCACGATAAAAACGGCAGTAATTATGCTAGTTTTTTTGGTGCTTGTTATTTTCTTTTTCTCTTTCTTTCTTTCTTGTCATTTGTTTTTCCTTCTCCTTATTGGTAGGAGACGAATAACCAATTATATTTTTAATATCAGATTTTAAGCTAGCTAATGATGCACGTTTAGTATAGGCATCGCACAATGGGTTTTATTGGAAGATTTTCATTCATACTAGAGCGCAATTTGAGGGCTTCATTCGATTTTCACTTCTCAAGTAGCCATTACACATGAACGCATTGAAAATCAAAGAATTCAAGCAATGCTTGAGATCTAGACAGTATTAGATATATAGTAGGTAAAGACGTTTTTGATGATATAGGAGATTTCTAAACTATATGAACCTTTGATGAGAGGCGCCTTGTTCACCTTTCTTGTCTGTCACACTTCAGGTGACTCCAATTGTCTGCCTACTTGGAAATTACATGCTAATATTTATTCTATAATTATTAGCTCCTACGTCTCCAATATACTCTATATCACTACACAGTCTAATAATTATCCGTACCACTGTTGCCATCTTCCAGAGAACGGAAACACGTAATCGTGGGTCCAAGTCAAGTGACACGCTGCTCGTGTCGCTTTCCTAGATCTACACCAGGAGATGTGTTCGCATCAAAATTTTTACATTTCCATTCAATTGCCACATTTGTTCGAATTTCATGAATTCATGAACCTGAAATTAAAAGTTATAGCATGATTATAATCAGGATGCAGATGTAAGAGTCTGAATGTGGATCACCGTACTATTGCAATTATCAGGAAAAACCCTGCCGGTGATCATTAATTTCGAGAGTGTTACTGATAGTTCTTTGAGATATAAAAACGTGTCGCTACAAGAAAGCTAACAGCATACAGCCGTTCTTGAAAAAATGCAAAAATAGTGATATGAGAATGATTATTTTTACTTCTTTTCATTCGTTAATCTCAAACTAAAGGATCAGGAGATGAGACAAAGGAAAGAAAAAACGATGCGCTTCAATGAGTATCTATGATGATTAAACGAAAAAAAAAATATGCGCATATCCTTATTTTTGGTGGAAAAAACAAGCACGAGGTAAAAATTTTCGATTCAGAATTGTTTATTTAAGTAACACAGGTCAAAGCAATGTATTCGTATGGTATGAAGACAACGATTGAAAATGATTTTGATAAATTTATAAAAGGTATGAAGAGTATTTATTACCTTTTAGTCATCACTGTGTTTCTCTCATTTCCTAGAGCTAACTTCCGATGAAAGTGTCGATGAAGAAAATAAAGATATAGGTATTTCTGTCGAAGATGTTCTTGTAAGTATAACAGATTTTCTTTTAAAAATGCTGTACGTTAGAATGTTTCAAATATTATTTCGTTACTACAAGGCTCACCAAAAGAAACAAAAAGCGCTGGAAAAAGAACGAAAATTAAGACAAGCTAAGGTGCAAAAACAACGTGAAGAAGCAAGACAGAAAATTCGTGATAAAGTGAGTAGTATAGATGTATCCAATATTGAAATCATATTCTAAGAAAGTTCCCGTACTCTATCTATTTTCATAGTATAATATCAAGAAGACAGATGACCTCTCCACGCCAGCTCACAGTGACGCGACGACGTCATTGGATGAAAACAACGCAAGAGCAGCGCATCAAGTATCCAATGTAGAGAATCAGGGTAAATGACTCCGAAGAATGAGAAACTGCATACTGCTTTTTATAACAAAGTTGTTCATTGCACTCTTTTGTTTGCCATTCCCTGTGTCAGACAACAGACTAGTGCTCTATCTTGTCCAGCAGGTTAAAGTTACTTGCCATAATCTACGTGAATTTAAATGATCGTTTTTTATGCCTCTTTACTTTCTCTTGTTCTTTTGAATTAGGTTTTGATCTAGTGAAAAGCACGACGCGTGTATTTAATCATTTAAAGAAACAATTTGGATGGAAATGACATTTTTTTGCTGGTTTTTTTAATAAGTGTGGTTTTTATTTCTCGCATCTTTTTTACGGTCAGTCTTTAACGAGTTCCTGTATTATTTTCTTGATTTTACTGACTCTTTTCGCTATTCATTTGTGAACTGTAGAACCTCATATGTGGGTTTTTGGGAATTTATTTTTTCTATTTAAATCTATTAAATGTACAAGTACATGATAAATCTCATTGATAATATTATGAGAGAGTATGAGAGCACTTTAATTCTAGCAGCCATTATCAGAATTTAGTTCCTGCTAAAGAACTCTTCAGACTGTGGGTGTGAGTGAACCGAAGCTCCATATTCACACTCTGATTTTCTGCTGTTTTCCATGCGTCGCGTCGAAATAGTTTAAAATCAAGGTATTCGAAAAGTCACTAAAGATCTTCGATGCGAGGCATGATGAGTTTCTTAATTTGTCGATACTTGTGAGACGAGATCCTTATGATTTTCTGTAGAGATACGGCGGATTCCTCAATCTTAACCGAGTGGAATACTACTTCTATCTGTTGGATACTTTTCTGGTGGTTTCTGGAGGAAAAGACAGTGGAATGGATGTGCGTTCGAGTGATTTTATTTTTCTTTATACCCACACTCACACCCGTATATCCGAGAAATCTTCTGCTCAACTTTGATCAAGCACGGTCCTATTTAGCTAGACAGACTGACCTTCTCAGTTATTATACATCTATTCTCTTTTTTTTTCTCTCACATCTAATTATATATCTTTTAAGCAACGAGAAAAGTACTTGCGACCAAGTAAAATCCATTTCGTCTATGCCTGTATTTTTCTGTTTCTGTTATTATTCACATATTTCTGCTTTCACTGTTTAACATGCTCATGTAATCCTTGAATGATTTCTTTGAAGAGTAAATACATTAAAAAAAAGATAAGACACGATAGTGAGAAATCATATAGTACATGATTATTCTCGTGAAATCGACAATGTTTTGTGTACTGTTTTGTTTTTGTTATCTTTCAATTAAAAAAAGATGAAAATGCACATTGGACTGCCGTTTCTTATATCAATAGATTAAAAATAAGAGACGCATAAAGTATTCTTTCATTTTTCTGCTAACGTAAGTAGAAAACTATTGTAAATATAAAACACGTAAATTTTTCTTCTTCATATTGAACTGATCATTATCAGAATGTGCTTAATATCTCTTAAAATAGCCATTTGGATAGGTTAAAAAATGTACGTATTGCTCTTTTTTTTTCTACTGCTTTCATCAATACAGAAATATATATGCAACGAAGAGATTGATGACTCCTCTATAAAGAGAAGAATAACGAAAACAGAAAAGTATATAAGCAGGTGAACCTTTCATCCATATATTCATTTCTTTTATATATAAAGTTACAGTTAGATTCTTCATTTACCTTTGTTATTAAATCAAATATTACAAGCATAATATCAACTATTGAGCATGAAGCAAATATACAACTGCAGGCTCAACTGTGTCTCATACAGCTGTTGCTGATAATATTGCTGCCAAATCAATGGTTAGCACTGAAACACAATGAAAAGTTAACATGGAGAATACAAAAAGAATAGCTGTTTTAATGAGCAAACTTGGCAAGACTATTTAATATCATTTTTCTCGTTCAATCATTTTCATTTTTTTAAGATGCAACTCATCAACCAATTGACGAATATTCTCGTATTGAGCAAATTTCTGGAGAAGTTGCAGCAGCTAACAGTCGAATTGTTGCTGATACTCAAGGTGACCAAGCAATTCTTGTAACTGATGCAAATACTCGATCGGCTGCTATTGAAGAAAAACATAAACTTAAAATAAAGCAGTTTGCTGAAGAATTTGATGTAGTTAAAGCATAAAATTTAGCAATACTTGAAAAAGATTTAAATTTACGTCAAGAAATGATCCTTGAACCAGCTAAAAGACGTATTGATGATTTAAATGAAAAAGCAAATCGTTTGAAATTAGATGTTTTACGTGAAGCTCAAGCGCAAAATAATGCAAAAATTAAATCTATTACTGAACAAGCCGTTATGTAAGCTATTTATAGAAACAAAAAGTATTTTACAGAAGAATGTTTGAAAATTCTTTTTAGTTTGAGTGCTGAAGATGCTAATCGTCTATTAACATCAACATCCACAATAGTGATTACAACTAATGCTAAAACTACTAGTATAACTCAGGTTGCTGGTACAACAGCTGTTGTAGATAACTTATTCCCTAGACTGACATGATAGGGTCTAGAAACTGTAACTCACCTTTGTCTGTCTGTCTGTAATCGTGGCAAAAAAAGACCATTTCCATGGACACAAAGTATATGTACCCATAAACGGATCTGAAGGAACATAGAACTATTTTTACAAGTAAATTTATGAAAAATGAAAATCAATTAAGTATTTGAATCCTGCCCTCATATGGTTTGGTCACAAGTCAAAGAACATAGGCCTTCCACCGGATTTAGCTACAATTAAACAATTACACTTTTCATCAACAGCAGAAGCATCAGGATCCTAGCCGGTTAATGCCGATGCAGGAATTGTGTAGCTCGCTAGCATAGTGCCATTCGGTGTATAATGATTGATTTGAGGGTGATGGATAAGTAATTGCGAGTAATATATCAGGATTATTAGCGGTAGCTGAAGGGAAAAGCGTAATAAATGGACGGACAAGGTATGGTCATTCTTCTAATTATATGACCGCAATTTGTTTGTCATCATTAGTCAACTGGTAGAGATGCACGCACATCGAATATCAGATATATAAACAGCTCTTATCGTTTCTGACTTTGACATCATAAGGAAACTGCAATGGTGGCGTCATTTTATAGTTTTCTATGATGGTTGCATTCACCAATAATTTAATAACACGACTATTACCACTGTCAGCAACATACAAATTACCCTGTAAATCAATGCTTATACCATTAGGACATCTTATTGCGGGATCTCTTGAATCATTATTGTTCAAGGTTGAAACAACTGGAAAACCGAAATGAGGTTTAGGATCAATAATTTGTGTAACATTAGCCGACGAGTTCGTCATTGTCAGTTTCTTTATAATACTATAGGCTCCATTATTAGTTAAACTATTAACATAAATATCTCTACTACTAAGAACTGCCACTAAACTAGGTGAAGCCAATAACGGGTCACTACTAGAATAAACTTGCAATATTTTTGCTGTTGTAATGTCGAATAAGACTATTTGATTGTCTAGCGATTCCGATAAAAGTAAATTACCATCATCTGAAAACGTAAGGCCTTGTGGGCTATAAAGACTGTTCGTATATGTACGTATCAAACTTCCGTTTGGCATTAAAACAACGATACAGTTAGTAGCCATGTCAGCAATAAAAATATTGAGATTAACACAAGGGGGAAACGGCAGACTTGAAGTAGAAAAGTACATCAAAGTACTTTACTTGAAGTAAGCTTAAAGTAGCTTAAAGTAACTCAAAGTAGCTCAAAGTAGTCCAAAGTAGTCCAAAGTAGTCCAAAGTAGCTTGAAGTAATTGCAAGTAACTTCAAGTGAATTTGAAGTTGAAAACTACTTCAAAGTACTCTACTTGAAGTAAGCGCAAAGTAGCGCAAAGTAGCCTAAAGTAGCGCAAAGTAGCGCAAAGTACTTGAAGTACAAAAGTCTGCCGTTTCCCCCTTGGATTAACATCAACTACCACCCCTGCTGGTCGGTATATGTTCGTGTCGATATAGGATTGTAACTGTTTGCCGATTTGTGAATTAATAACAAATACTCTGTCAGTCGGTACTTCATTTTTATCAGCAACATACAATCTTTCTGCAGTTTTATCCATAGTTAATGCTGTTGGTTGACCATTGCTATTTAAGATATACACAGCTGTATCATCAATGTCGATAGTTGCCACGTAAATATTACCATCAATAGGCGAAATAGTCAATGCTGCAGGCACATAGAAAGATAAAGATATATTTTTAATTAATTGATCATCAGTAGTCCTGTATTTATATATCAATGCAAACGAACGATTAGCACCAGTTGTAACATATAGGTAGCCATCTACACCTACCTCTAGCTTGATTGGTGAATAGACTTTCGATTGGTCCATAGGTAAGCTAAATGTTGATATATAAATTGCTTCATATGACAAATGTAATACTCGATTGAACGACATATTAGCAAAGAATATATGTTTATCGACTGATGATATAACAATATCAGTAGGGATCCAATAAGAAAGTAGACGCGATGGATAATGCATAGAAATAAGTGCATCTATATGAACTAAAGGGAAGAGTAAAACGATGGAACCAATAGTAATGAGAAAAATAAAGGCCACTTCATCGGAAGCAGTAGTTGAATGTTGATAAGCGGTAATATAAGCTACTTTTTTTATCTCGGTTAAACTAGAATAAATTATCAAATAAATAGTTTCATAGAGGAGCGGATGTCAATAACGAAACAAAATGAAAAATCTTACTTTCTAAAATCCTAGTCATAATGACTCAAAGCCGATATTTACCGTCAGCTAAATTGAGGAAGAAAATATCAGTGTATTGCGCGTAGGCGTTAGTTTATAAATATAATATTAAGCCGAAGAGAAAAAATATACATCAAGACTGTTTTTCAAGATTATATTATAAATGGGTTGTCTTCTGCTTACGCAACTAATTTCAGAAGGAAAAAGCAATTTTTCTTATAACTTAAATTGATCTGCTCTTACAACTTGAACAACCCTGTGGAGCGATTCTAGAAGTCATAACATAAGGGGTTTCAACATGTTTGTTTGGAACAATATTAAATCTCACGAAAGTCAATTCCGATCTGAGAAAGACTAGAGCATATCTGAGAATTATTGTAGTTATCTCCATGAATGAATGCCATCATTGATGACATTAAATTGTTGTACATCGTTATGCCATGCATATTCATCAGCTGAATCAAATTTTCGTCACTTTTATTCGAAAATATTAATACACAAAATGATAAGTATGAGAATCTTTCGAATTGTAGCTGAGAAATTTAACCAGGTGCAGTCTAATTGAGGGTGTGGGCACGAATTGAAAAGAACCATACCCACACCCTCAATCGATTTATTTTGCTTCATCAAATCAATTCACATAAACCAACACAGTTGAAAATTCGACCTATCCGCGTATGATTCATTTCTGAGATGAAAATTTGAGTTAATTGTCTGGATTATTTGTATAGAATTTTTGAATTTTAATTAGTAGATTCTTTTCCTTGAGTGAATCATCTCTCAAAGTCTCGAGAGCAACATTCAATCTAGTTGCGCAATTATCAGAAAAAATCTGCAAGAAATCATTAATTTCGAGAGTATTACTGGCAGTGCTTCCAAAATATAAAAATTCGTCACCACAGGAAAAACTACCATCGCACAGTTATCCTTGAAAAATGGAAAGAAAGTGATTCAATAAAGTGTCAAGAGGTGAAACAACTGAAAGAAAAAAGATTCGCCTGAATGAGTATGCATGATGAAAGAACGAAAAAAAAGCATGTGCCTTTTATTGTATTTCATTCTTTTTTTTTGGTGGAATAAAACAAACGCGAGGTAATCATTTTCGATTCAGAATTATGTGTATGCAAGTAACGTAAGTCAAAGCAATGTCTTCGTATGTTATAAAAACAACGATTGGAAATGAAGTTGATAAATTTATAAAAGGTATGAAGGGTATTCATTAATCTGTAGTCATCACTATGTTTCTGTCATTTCTTAGAGCTGACTGGCGATGAAAGTGCCGATGAAGAAACAGAAGATATTGGCATTTCTGCTGAAGATGCACTTGTAAATGAAACAGATTTTTCTTTTAAAATATCTGAACTTGAGAATGTGTCAAATCTTATTCCGTTACTACTAGGCTGCCCAAAAGAGACAAGCAGCTATGGAAAAAGAGCGCCAAATAAGACAAGCTAAGGTGGAAAAAGAACGTGAAGAAGTAAGACAAAAAATTCGTGATAAAGTGAGTACTGTAAAAGTATCAGAGATTGAATTCCTCTTCTAACAAAGTTTTCGTTTGCTGTCTATTTTCATAGTATAATATCAAAAAGAAAGATGACCTCTCTAGTCCAACTCACAGTAAAACGACGAAGATCACAACATCGAATGAAAACCAAGCAAGTGAAGTGCATCAAACATCAAGTGTAGAAAATCAGGGTAACTGCTTTCCGAGAATGACAGGGTGAACACTCATCTTTATTTTCTCTTCTTTGTTTTTCATTAGGTTTCGATCCAGTGAAAATGACGACAAACGCTTTTAATAGTTTAAAAAACAAATTCGGATGGAAATGACAGATTTTAGTATTGTGTATGGTATTCAGTCTTTTTTTTTATAAGAGTGATTATTATTTGCTCGCATTTTTTTATGTTAAGCTATTAATAACTTTCTTTATCATGTTCTTGGTTTTACCGACTCTTTTCGATGACTAACGACTCGTTTTTTTCTTCCAGTTTCAAACGCAACAAGAGGAGTTATTTGCTAAGTATCGGATTTCATAAATAGCTCACTTTTTAGATACGACATAAAGTCAATATGTATAAATTTTTAGTAAAGATTCATGACAACGCATTTATTAGCATTCTTTTTTTTGCAAACATAGTTTCACATAATATCAAGACGCATCACCCTTGTAAATTAACTGAATCAACGAAGTATTTGCAAATGTGCTTTTTAATGTCTACTTGGGGCTGTCTATTGTTACGGTCGTATATCTTCGTGATTGTATACGAGAGCCGTCGTCCGCGCCCACGTCCTCTTTCCAGTTTCTAAGGTTTTATTCTGACTCCTACAAAACGAAAAAATAATAAAAAAAAACTCGTGAGTCATAAAAATGGCAACAGAACGAACGCAAGAAAAAAACTACAAAAATTGGATGCATGCAGCAGTTGTCTTTCTTCAACATCAACTTCTTATCGTAATTTTATGAATCAGCATTTTGACTCACCCAAAAATCCAAATGACGATTGAGATGGTAGTTAGTAATAAAATGATTTTTATGCTCCTAAATTTTCTCGTGCGTGTTCTTTGAGAGCAGTGCGCTCGTATTGTCAATATTTGCACTTTTGAGTTAAAATTGCTTATCATACACTTAAGTTGCTCTTGTTTCTGAAGAAACATTCACATTTTGCCAAAGAATGTAATAGAAACATTGCAACACAGGTAGCCTGCAACCTTCTGCACAGAGGAGGACCTTTTTTATTTCGATTTTTTTCCTGAAACTCTTCCGTCTTAAATAATAATTCCTTACCGATTTTTGTTATGATGTTATGCAATGTCAGTAGTTTATTTCTTCCACTTAACTGACCCGTTTACTCCACATCTAAAAAGTGAGCTTCACCCGTAAGCTCATAATTGGCTACTCATTCAAAGCCAATGTTTTATTATTTTATGTTTTAGTAATTAGAAATAAAAGCATTGTTGTATCTTAGGTATTCTTCAATTACATTCCATTGGTAAATATTCGCCCTATTCGATTTAATAAATAACAAAATCCAATACCTTAAACTAATGGAATATGTTAAACGTTTTACAAATCGACAATATAATGATAATGACGTTCAGCCAGCATTACTTGCTCGATTGGAAGAGTTACGTCAACAGTCTCCTGAATATTTTTCAAAACCAATCTATGTATTAGATGCTGTTGATGATACTATTGAAGGCCAATTGGAGCGACGGCTACAACAAGAAAAGCGATCTTACACAGGGAAGCGCATTTCACTTATCCCATATAACATCGGAAATTCGCATTGGATTGGACTTCTATTAGAATTCACAACAGACGAACAAATTATACGAGCTGAGTATATTGATCCCGTTAATGGTGATAATATTATTCCGATCAGAGTGAAAAATCAATTTGCTACAGTATATGTCGATGATATTTTACAGATCAGGCATTTGCGAAAGCAAGATGGCCCAAGAAATAGTGCAGAGTTAATGATTGAAAATTTATTAATGGCAGCTGGAAATGCTTCATTACCACGAGACGCAGGTAATGAATTGACAATTTCAGAATTACGACAAAGACTGAACAGCGGTTTGGCGAAGTGGGAAATTCAGGATGTGGCTAAGTTGCCAGAAAAAATGCAGGAAACAGAACAACGAATTGCAGATTATCTGAAGAAGAAAAGATATGACAAAGTCGAGAGAGAAAAAGCAAAAATGAAGGAATTGAAACAGCTAGTGGACTTGTCGAAAAAGATGGCTTTTCTCGTAAGTTCTATGAACGATGACGAATTAAAACTACATTACATGGAGCAGAGATTAGCTAATGGGTTGACAAAGTGGGAAATTCAGAATGTGAGTAAACTACCAGAAAAAATACGGGAAACAGAACAACGTATTGCAGATTATTTGATGAGGAAAAGAAATGACAAGGCCGAGCGAGCTAAAACAGATTTGACTGAACTGATAGATTTAGTACAACTTAAAGAAAATATTAGCAGTTTTCAAATCCAAATCCTAAACAAAGAAGCAAAATTAAAAGAGGATCTTGAAATTCTACATGAAGCTTTGCCGATCATGCCTACTTGTGCTGAAAAGACGATAATGGAGTTGCAAGAACATTTTCAACGGAAACTACTGAAAGATTGTGTTCTTCCATTAACTAAAACTTCACCGAACGATTTATTAAAACAACTTGATAATCAGATGAAGAGGCAAGAGTTAAGTTCGGGAGAAATCAGAATGAATCTTCAAGAGTTGGATACATCTGTACATAGAAACGATTGTTTATCTACGGTGCGTATTTTGAAAGAGCTTTTAAAGAAAATCTGGCCTTTAAATGTGCAAGAGATACGAAGACTCACAGATAAAGCGGAAGAGGCAGCTGAAATGATTCGAGGCAAAGATATCATTCTTTTAGTTGGTGCGACGGGAAGTGGAAAATCTACTACAATTCAATTTCTTGCAGGTACTAGAATGAAAGAAACTAAGGTAGAAGTTGCGCCAGGGAGATATTTGGTTCATATTGAACCTGCTGGTCCAACTAAGAATCCCAGATTGAGTAACTTGACAAATAATCCACTAAACAAGTCGGATACTCACTATATTGTGCCCATTACGGTGCCATTGAAAGATATTTTTGGTCTTCATGAGACCGGATATATTATTTTATGCGATACACCTGATTTTGGTGATACGGTAGATGTAGAAGTAGATCTTGCAAATAGTGTAGGATTTATTGAAGCTATTACAGGATGTTCAAGTGTCAAGCTACTGGTTCTATCAAACTATCAAAGTTTAGATGACAGAGGTGAAGGTATTCAAAAACTGGCTCACCTGTTGAACAGTATAGTAAATAAAACAGACTATCGATTAAACACAATTTTGTATGCATTTACAAAATGTTCTTTGCCAGTGGATATTAATGCAATTTTATTGGATATCAAAGCTTCAACGGTAGATAGAAACCTGCTAAAATCAGATAGCGCCTTTGTAACACTACTGGAAGATATGATAGAGAAAACTAAGAATAACGCTGAAATAATAGATCCTGTTCATGGTGATCCAAGACAGTTGATTGAGAAATTGAAGCTTGTAAATAGAATCCAATGTCCAGGCGATTTTTTTCGATTTTCAATGAGTCAAGAAACACAAACAGTTATTGTAAATCAAGTAAACAGATATAAATTGAACATCATGTGTGCAATGAAATACAGAGACAATAATCTTGTGATATATTATTTGAATGATTTAAAGACATTCAAAGACTGGTTAAAGGAAAGTTTTATTCGAGATGCTTATCAAGAGTCTCTACGCTTTGTAAAAGATAGTATTGCTAATTCTTATGCAGAAATGATGCAAAATTTTAATCGTTCGTTTACACGTCAAGATAAATTGAGAGAAGAAGACATTACTGATTACATAGCTTTTATTGATTACATTGAAGATACACAAAAACTGAACGAACATCTAGGATCAGATTTAATGTCATCAGCAACAGTAATACAAAATATAGATTGTGAATTGCAGAAAAGAAGTCATGCGCTCATCACAGAAGATTTAAATAGTCCTTTGGTAAAAGCCTTCCTAGATAATTTTTGCTTGCTCAAAAGCTCGTTAAAGTTACTTGAATCAAGTTATAATGCAAGTTGTAAGAAGTTTTCAGAGAGTTTTGAAAGACTATTGGAATCTGCACGAGAACTCATGATAGCCAATGAATTTGTACATGTTGCTAGAATCATTCTTATAATTTCAGAATCATCACAAACTTTAAATAGTCATTTGGGTAGACAAATAGAACAAAAGTATCGGGAAACTGTCAAATTACTCTTGAAACATTTAATCAGTTTCGCTGACAAAGCAGATTCTCTTTTAGTAAAGCCCCATTTGAATGATAGTGATGTAAAAAAATTAAGAAACTACATGGAAATACTAAAATCAGCTAAAGAAAATAATGCACTTCAAGATCGTATTTCTACATATGTGGAAATGTTGAAAAACAAAACCGATGTATACGAAGATGATATTCAAGATTTGAATGAAATTTACAATAAATTCATTTCAAAAATTGTCGTGTACTTTAATAACATTAGCAGTAGGATCCAAGAGCTTTTCAAAGAAAACGAAGATCGTGCTCTAGAGAATATAGAACAAATAGTTGCAGAAATGGAAGCTATTCATGCAATACCAGAACTTGAGTCAAAGACAGGTGAGACATATTATCGTACGATTGAAAACATTCGTAAATACATGCAGCAATTGCAGAAAGACGTACAGAAGTCTCTTGTCGCTATTGATAGTCAGTCCGAAAACATCAATTATAGGTATCTTGCGAATTCGGTGGCACGTTTGAAAAAAGCTAAATGGATTGACCGCCTTAGTCCAGGAGCACATGATCTTTTGATGTGCCGTATTCGAGAAGAGTTGATGCAATATGCTGATCAATTGGAACATCGTTTGATGAAACTAGATTTAAGTTTGAAATATCATGAGAATGTTATTGTAGCGCAAGATATTCTTAAGAAAATTGAATCGTTAAGCATTTTCGAAAGTAGTGTTCCAGAACTCGAAAAGTGCAGACTTCGCCTTTTAAAATACTTTCTCAAATCTATGCAGGGTGCATTCGATTATATACAAAGAACGTTCAACCTACAAGATAGTACTGTCTATCAATTAAAGCAGGAACTGAAAGAACTTGAACAAATTAAACGTGACTACGAGGATTTGGATCCAGCTCATGTATATTCACGAAAACAAGAATCTCCCGATATAGATTCATTGAATCGTAAGATTGAATCTTTAAAAAACAAGCAACAGCCAGAGCTTGTGAATCAGGATAGATCAGCAGGATTCAGTCAATCTTTAAATCAAATTGACACGATGAAGAGACAAAATAATTGGTTATCAGGTTCACGTATATCTGTTTTGCCAGAAGAAATAATTTTTCTTCAAAAGAAAGGATTTTCAAGTATTGAATCCCTTTACGGCAGCATACAAGAGAAGAAGAGAATCATTCTTGAGCGTGAGAATAATAAGCCACCGTATGATTTTAGTGGTAGATTCGATGCTTCAATAGCAAATAGTGCACTAGTATACTTAAGTCAATGCGAAAAAGGATACCATGTTCGTGTAAAGGAAATCGCAGCTGACACAAACGAGATCTTGAAAAAGTACATTCGTGAATATGGTAATTTTTTGAACCTGGAAATAACCAGAAACTTTAAGAGTATCATTAATATTGAATCTAGAGAAGACTATTCTGAATATTCGAATGATTTAGAAAAGTATCTACGAGAATTATCTTCTCTAAATAGGTTTGCTAATGTTTTTGATTGCATAGATGGAGCCGAGAAACAAGAAAATTGGTATCGAACATTTCTTGCTTATCATCGGAATCTGAGCGATAAAATGGAAGAATATAAGATGTCTGACAATAAAAGGGAATTACAAACTCGGTTAAATATTTCGCAAGCACTGATTTGCGTAGATAGCTTCTGTGCCTCTGTGTTTACGGACAATGGATTTCGAGTTCTATATAGACAGTATCAAATCGAAGTAAACAAGCAATGTAAAGCAACTTATATGTCTGTACTAGATCATATATCAAAGATGGATTATGAAAGTGCAACTATATCACTAGCTGACATCGATCATAGGCTGTTAAATGAGAAAGATTTAGCTCAAATAAAACATGACTTACAGACTTCTTTATACAAGTTGATGACAGATATCAAAAGTATTTTACATTCGTTCAGTGACAAAATCGAAAGAGAGGAAGATAGTAGGAGTCAAATACAAGAGATAAAAGAAAAAATTGAGAAAATCCAAGTTGCAACGAATAAAAAGAATATTATGCAGTTACTTGACAATAAAATCAGAATCAAACTTGATACATTTAGTGATGATATTGAGAAAATTTTATCGGATATTATGTTGCGAGGATTTGATGCTATTGAAGTTCTTATTAATACTGATAATTTTTCGGAAGCGGAACAATGTATGAAAAATCTTGGTATTGTACAGCGTGAATTAGCAGCCTATTGTACATCGACTACAGTGACTGAAAAAAGTAAGGAACTCAGAGAAAGATTGGATAATATGGTTAGTGAGATCTTGCAGCGTGATTTTGAAGATATCAGTAAATATTCCATGAATTCGCCAAAAGATCTTCACGAAAAATTAAAGATGGCTGCATTACATGGTAATATTAGATTTAATCAAGCTTGTAATGTTATGTTGGAAAAAATCAAACAGAGCTTCACTGCAGCTATAGATCAAGTACGCGCAGCTTCGTTGGAGGAACGTGCCAGTAAAGTGCGTTCATTAAATTACGCATTGTGCTTTTTACCAGATGAGTTACAAGCTTCATTCAAAATTCTGATTGATGAACTGAGTAAATCAGTAACTGATGAAGAGAAAGCACTGAGACGTGAATTGGATGAATCTCTAAAAAGCGTAGACGATGACGATCATGCCATTAGAAAGCTCGGTACACTTGCTCAGCGTTATAGTAAACAAAATGCAAATGAACTTTTTGAAACATTACGAACTGAAACTTTGAAAAAATTGTATATCTATCGAGAAAACGTAGCGAGTGTATTAGATCGGCAAGACATGCAGTCAGCTATTAATATAGCGAAGAAAATATTAAAATATAAAGAATCTGTAGGTTATCACATTCCAGAAGTAGAAGCAGTTTATAAAAACGTTCAGGATCTGATAATTAAAAACTTTTTGAATTGTTGTGACACGCTTGTCAAAATATCCACGATTGAACAAACACATATTGTTGAAGAAGCCTTTCAAAATATGATCATTTGTATTAGTTTTTCGAGTACGCTTCATGAAAAAAACGAACAATTTCTTCCTGAACATGTGTTAGAAAATGGTAGCGACTCGTTTCTAAAAATGTACGAATATTTATATCAAAATTCTGAAAAATATCGTAGAGCTATCAAGGGATTGCATATTGTTGAACTGGGTGAAGTTTTAAGAATAGCTAAACGATGGGATGGACTTCTACAGAAAATTAAACAGTGCCATCTAAAACATGAGTCAATTCAAGTCTTGATGAAAAATATAACAAATGTGATTCCATACACAAATATGATTGCTGAACTTCAAAAAGAGATTACCTATTTAAGAGACCAATTAGATGTTGAACTCATCAGTAATGATACAACAAAGTTCGAAAAACATCGTGAAGAATTTTTTGGCAATCTTATGAAAGTAGTCAGCACATTAAAGGAGATCGATTCCAAATTAAAAGATATTTTACCATTTAAAGTGGATGTTGATAAGGTAGAAGACGAACTTAGAAAGAAGATCCAAAAACTTGGCGATCATCTACTTGCGATAGCATCGAAAGGAGAGTTATCTACACGCGATTCTGATCAATTTCGTATGTTTTACGATCATCTAGCATCGTTGAATAAATATGCAGCTAGAATAGGGTTCGATGGTAGACAATTTTTAGATGCATCAGAGAAACACATTTTCGGTCAAGTAATGTCCTTGAGTAAAGAGATTGGATCTTCGAGTTCAGATGTTACAAAAGTAGCTAAATTATTAACTCAAATGAAATTTTTTGCTGAAAATCTATCGATGTTCGATAGTAAAATCAATGCAGAGATTGATGAAGCGCTTAAACTTTATAAGCAAAGAGAAGGTGCATCGGTACTTATGCAATTGACTATGATATTAGAAAAAACAGATATCGGTGCACGGTTAATGTCTGAGCATTCTGCTTTAAGCGGAGAGGATTGGCGAAAGCGACGTGAAAAAATGCAAAATCAAGATAATCTGGAGTATGTCCTGAAAGAATTAACCGGCGACGATATTGTCACAGATGTTTTAGCTACTTGTTATCAGACTTTTAGGGCAAAGTATGACGATTTAGTATCTCGAATTTTAGCAGTATTTGATCAGAAAAAAGATGATGAACCTGATTTAGAAGTGTTGATCGCTCAAACGAAGGCTCTGGTGGCAAAAGTCACTCGAAAATCGAATACTATTATTTGGGATTCTTCCTTCAGAGATAAGATTCCCGAGTTATTGGCATATATTTTTGCTGTATGGACTTTAAAAAATACGCAACACTATAATGCATTGCGTGGCATTGAATCAGCACGTGCATATTTATTAATGCCTCATGTTGCACAAGTTCTTGCTATTTTCCGTATTCTTGGCATTGGCTACAAAAAATACTCAAAAACTTCTGATGATTTAATTAATAATCTAGTAGAGATAGGAACGGGTGAAGGCAAATCAGTTGTGATGGCAGTAACAGCGTGTGTTTTCGCTCTCATAGGAGTGGATGTCAATTGTTCATGCTATAGTGAAGTACTAAGTACACGAGATAAGAATGATTTTGCTTCAGTTTTTGAGGCTCTCGGAGTAGAAGAACGTATTGAATATGGTACTTTTAATAAATTGTGTGAAAATCTTCTGAATGAACGATGCAATGTGCGAGAGAAGGTGCGCGATATGATTGTCAATAATACAAGCGCTATATCCGTAATTGGAAAAAACACATATTTACGTCCCAAAGTGTTGCTGATTGATGAAGTAGACGTTTTTTTGAGTGACAAATTCTATGGTGGTATGTATACACCTTCGGTGTTTTTGAGAAATTCGTCCATTAAGGAATTATTAGATACCATTTGGCAAAACAAAACAGTGGGAAATTCAGATAGTATTAAAGCCACGTCGGCATATCAGACATGTGCCGCTCGATTTAGCAACTGGACTTTTATTCTATCAACACTTCTAAAGGATATGATAGCAGCATTAGAATCGTTTCAGTCCTCGACTCATATTGTCCAGAACGATAAAATCGTTTATGTCGAAGGTGAATCCATAGTTGACAATGTAGTTCGAGGTTACGATACAGTGTGGACTTACTATCAAGAAAATCAAAATGGTAATATTAGTCAGAGTAGCTTAGCAGAAAATGTTGGTATCTTAGTGAATTGTGGAACATTTTCATATGCTGAAATGCCGCATGAATTCGCCTATATCACCGGTGTAACTGGCACTTTACGCACACTTGTCAAGACAGAAACAGATATACTAAAATATGTATATAATGTGCAAAAAAATACATTTATGCCATCTGTATTCGGAAAAAGCAATCGTACCTATAATCCTAACAATGATGTACTAGTCATGAGCGAGTCTGAATATTTCATGAGAATACGTGGAGAAATTGACGGCGTATGCAGAGCCGATCGTGCGATTCTCGTATTTTTTGAGTCAGAAGAAAAATTGATGAAATTTTACGAATCTCCGGAGTTGGCATCTAAAAAACATGACGTCCAAATTATAACTGAGACTGTCTCTGTAAAAGATAGAGAGTTGTATATTAAACGTGCAGCAATGATTGGTAGAATTACACTGTTGACTAGAACATTCGGACGAGGTACTGATTTTATCTGTCGTAATCAACAACTCCTACTTAATGGAGGTATGCATGTACTTCAAACATTCTTCTCTGAAGAATTATCGGAAGAATACCAAATTATAGGAAGAGGTGCACGACAAGGAGATTATGGTTCATACAGAATGATTTTACTCGATAAAGATTTAGAATGGGTTCTTGGTTCTACTTGGAAGGAAGAACTACCAAACATAGCAGGCACTATTCTCTATAAGACTTTGAACAAGGCTCGTCATGCACTTTATAAAAGTAAGTGTGCGGCGAAAGAACTTGGCATAGAGCAATGCAAACTTGAACATAAAGCTGCTAAAGAGTTTATGGCTGCATTATCCGAAGGAAACATAAAGGCTGTAAAGAAATTTTTGTTGAAACAAAATCGAGGAGCAAGTTCAGTGACAAAAACTTCACGTACCGTTTTACTGATGGATGCAACAGGTTCTATGTCGAGTTTGTTATCTGCTGCTAAAGAAACAGTTTGTACAATGTTTGAGCGAGCTTCTGATATTTTAAAAGAAGAAATGCTCCCGAGTGATGCATTTCAGATGCAAATTGTCATATATCGAAATTATAATTCTAGAGAGAATAAGATTTTACAAGCTTCTTCTTGGGAGACAAAAGCTAGTAATTTAAGATCATTTATGAATACCATCAGTCCTGAGGGTGGATGGGGACAGGAAGCCATTGAAATAGGTTTATGGCATGCAGTTAAAGAAAGCGAAATGAAAAACTCAATCTCTCAAGTAATTTTAATAGGAGATGCTCCATCAAATACACAGCAAGATGTCAGACAAAAAAGAGAAAGTTTTGGTGAAGCATATTGGGAAAAGACCAGATTTAGTAAGCCAACATCTTGTCGATATGAATTACAGAAGTTAAAAGAGAAAAATATTCCTGTCCACGCATTCTATCTTACTGATTATGCAAAAGATGACTTCGAAAAAATTGCTAGAGAGACACGAGGACGCTGTGAGCATCTAGATATTCATTCTTCTGATGGTGCTGAATCCCTGACTGATTTTGTAACAGAAGAAATTTTAAGAAGTGCAGCTGGTGATTATGGAGATACTGTCGTAGAGCTATATAGAACGAAATATGTGAGGAAAACTTATGCGTTCTAAAGATAATTCGTAAAAGTATTACTTAAGCAGATTTCTCTAGATTTATGTGCCTCTTTTCGTTCTACTCTGTTGTTTCCTTCATATTTGCTCAATGACGTCCCTTATAAGTGTGAACATTTTTCGCTGTAAAACTACTGTATCGTGTGAAAATAATATGTCGACCCGTTGTTTTATCCTCTGCTATAATTGTTCCAACAAGTTACTTTCTTTTATTGTATTCTGTGATTTTGTTTTCATTTGTTTATTTTCTTGAACACTTAAATATATTGTACTTCATGCTATTTGTGTAACATTTGGACATCGGTGTGAGTATAGACGCATAAATATGCAAATTTTGCCTTCAAGTTCTTTAAATCGATAACTGAATGAGCTAAATATATTAAATATAATTTATTCCGATTCAATGAATATCATGGATACGTTTATTTACATGATTTTAAAGATACATTGAAAGGAAAGTTGAAGGAAAAAAGTCAGAAGATTTAATATTTATACTGACTGATGTTATCTGAAGCAATATTTGTTTTAGACGAACTTGAAGATGATATGTGAGCATCCATTGAATTGAAGTTTTCTTAAATTCGTTGATCAGAATTTGATGTTCATCAAATGTTTGTATCAACACCACTAAGCTATCAATCAATATTAAATAGTAAAAATACTTTCAACATCCAACGTGGTAGCACTGTCCACCAAAAACAATAATTTTGTCACTTATTAAACTTTATTTTCTATTTCTTTGCTAGAGAGCTTGAAATAAGAAATAAGAACAGCATAAAACTGCGTTTACTGTTATTTTTTCACAAATAAAATTCATAAAAATTCGTTATAGGCACGTGACTGTACATGTTCACGTGAGGATGCATACCTAACTGAAAAACGCACTTTTATAAGACATGACGGATATAGGTAGCAGTTAACTTTTCTATATGAATTTTATTACCAAATAATCTATATCAAGGTTGAAGAATACAAGGAAGACGAAATCTTTTTCTATCTAGGTCAAGCAAAAAAGCATTCTTTGTTTGGTGTAGGATCAACCATATTGAAAATATGTTTTTAAACGTTACTCTGTTCTGATTGATCAGAGATGCCAAGATAATTCTGGTAAAGATATCCAATTATTTCTATTAGTACAAACTCATCCGTATTGTGCCCAATAAGTCGTAAGACAAGGAATCCATCCAAATTGATGTATTCAATAAAACCTTTTTCTAATTCAATTCGTTTGCTTTGTCTCATTGATGTTGTTGATTCGTAATTCTGATATAATTGCAAATACTTTTTCATTGAATTTTTTCGATTGCAGATTGACAAAGAAAATAGCCACAATACAATCCAGAAAACATTCAGAATGGTTAAAATAATTAGCCAGAGTCGAATGCCAAGAAAAATAGCTTCATTATAAAGATTAATGGGTAAGTTGCACTGCGACGCATACCAATGATTATTTGAACCTAACTCGCGAATCATAAAGTCACACATCGTAACCCGGGGAAACTGCGAAGATTCAAAATGACTTTCGCCGTCTTGAAATATATTGACCAAAGTTTTCCAACCAATATCATTTCTATGCAGTGAAAGAAATGTGTTCAAAAACATGATTTGCAGAAGTGTATTTGTAGCATATAGAATTTTCGTAATAAAATAGAAATACGTAAGAGGATGAAACCAAAAGAACATAGAAAGGCTCCTATAAGTGCAACGTCGTTTTCGCAGTTGATATTGAAGATCCAATTTTGCTCTTATCAATTTTTTTATTTTCTCAATCTTACTTTCGTCTATCTGGTCATTATTAAACAGTTTATTCAAATTTCCTATATTCAAACCATTTCGATGCGAAAATGCATGCCATATATGATGAGGCAACACAAAAAATACAGCCATACCACAAAGAATAAGTGGTGTCCACTGATAGTAGGATCTAGGTAATCAATAAATAAATATAGAATCATTCTTCATAAAACATTAGATGAAAACTCAAATTCAAAAGTCGTTTTCCATGTTATTCGATTATGAGTTTTTTGGAATACTGAAAAAGTATTACTAATTATTGCTGATTGTGAGGTGTGAGTTTGACTAAAGAAAATGTAATCAACGACATTCACACCCACACCAACACCCTCTCAAAACAATAATTCGAAAACCACTTGACCAGATTATTTATTGAGATATCAACATGTGTAGATAATTATTCCTTGTTAAACAAAATTTGCTGATAATCTTACATGCGATTAATACGAGGTGTCGATCGATCGGGAATAGTAGCTAAATATAATACTTGAAAACGAGTCAATAACATGAATTAAACGCAACTTACTATCATCCGTTGGAAGATAGTAAGTTCCTTTTAGCCAACAGATACTATTGATGTATTTAAAATGTATTTCTTCGAATTGAGCTGTGAAAAAATAAGAATTAAAAAAAAGAAACATAATTAGATCAAAAGAACAAAAATAAAAATCATATAACTCTTTGATGTTCCCAATCTTTACATAAATGCTAAAGAGTACGAATCAATAAGAGCCTCGGTATTTATGTAATATTCACCATAACAGAAACTGTAACTACCGAAATGTTATATGATTTGATAAATATTTCAATAGATCAATAATTAAATCACATTTCCCACATGCATATTATTATAAGGCTATAATTTCATATCACAGTTCACTAGAATTTATTCGACTGTTTTTATTCTGGGAGCGGCTACAACTCTTACTTTGAGAACTCATCAAAAACGAGCGTTTGGCAATATTATCTGTTGTGTTTTAGTTTGTTCATCAACTTGTCGGAATTGGATGACATGAACTAGATTTCAACAAAATTAAATTCTATCGGATCTGTGCTTTTGATTTCATCAAAAACAAAAAACAAAAATATAAACACGTCAAAAGTTATTTTAATTAAGCGATGCCTGATCTGATGCTGACAATTCGTCTTTCGTCGAATTTAATCATCAGAATTCATGGAATTGACAAAGATGGTTGATGTAATCTCCAATGGATTGTAATTTGAATGCTTGAAAGGGTATGGAAAATTATCTAACCCTGCTATATTATTTACTCAATTTCAAGTTATAGGTGCTTTTAATCAAAATTCGCACTGATTCGTACAGCTGCATAAAACATCGGTAAAAATGAATCACATTTGTATTTCATCTACCATATATATTAAATTAGGGACAATTTTCACGTTCCACTATACTGTTGGTCATTATGTGGATTTTCTAAATATAACAAAAATAATTTACTAATGTAAAGTATGAATCTTTCAGAACATATGCGATTTATGTAACTCTATCAGGCAGTGATGATTTATTTTTGTAGTCAATTTCACTACGTAGAAATTATGCATATGAGACTTATTCGAAGGCATCCTCACTCAGTACCATTTCTTTAGACTTTGAAGAAATCGAACATTGCTTATCAAGTCATTGGAGAGTTTACTCAGAAACAAAAAAAAATCTTTAATTAATATTATCGAACATGAAATATTGAAGAACCATAGAAGTGAGTAAACTGCACTTAATATATTGTAGCGCTGCGATAGGTTCTGTCAATTTTATAAAAAATCACTTCAAAATCCGATCGGATTCAATTGTCCGAATGACTCTAGTCGTTAAAAAGCTGTTTACGTTTGTTAGCACATTTTCCTAAGCGGGTCGCAACAGTTTTTTGTTTTGTAAAAATACAGATTTATCAGCAATGCACAAGTAGTTTACAAGCTGCAGGAGTATGAAAATGATGTAACAAGTTATGCATCCGATAGAGCGCATCATGTTCTACGTGGCTATATCTTTGTCTGAGTTGGAAATTCGACTGGACCGAATTCATTCTATGCGGATTACAAATAAACTCGAAGAAAATTTTTATAAGGTTGCTAACTTATTTCGTGGTAGTCCTCAGTTTTGCGTATGAACCGAGAGCACCCTGTCCTGTCGTTTTCTACTCTCATGGCAGGGTCGGGCGAAAAACATACGTGATATAGTGCGTTCTGACACTGATTGAAAGATGAATGTTGAAAATTTTCGTTCTATCTAATTATATTATTGTAATATTTACTCTTGAGTGATAATTGCAATGGAAAGTATGAAATCTTTTCTGCGAATTAACTTAATCTTAATTGAAGACAAAATGTAATGGCTTCTGAGACTGAGAATGATTTTCCTTTATCGTAATAATTACTAAACTGTCTAAACTTGCCTGGAGCCCAACAATTGATCGGCTCACCCACATAGATTATTACAGCTACTGCTAAAAAGCACATAAGGAAAGCCATTACTGTGTATCGATTATTGAGCCGATCGACGATATCACCATCGGTATAATAGTCAAGCTTTGGACTATATTGCTTGAAGAATTTCGACATTGCCTCCACTAGAAAGAATACAGAAACCACCCAAGTAAACAAAAAATGAAGCGAGATTGTAGACATATGTAGCTAGTCAGAAATGTCCGTAGCATCCAATAAGTCTAGTCTGAAACGTCTTGTATACCCGTCATGTCTAGTCCATGTTGTCTGTTGATGCAGTTCAGACTAGTAGGAAGCTTAAAAAAAGATGTTACACGGTGACTGCCACCCATGCATAGAAACTCAGAAATAAGTCGACTTAAACGGTATTGATTAGTCTAAAATGTCTTCAACAGTTGTTAGAACTAGTCTGGCGCATCGTCTGGACATCTCATGGCTAGTCTTTTTTGTGAGGAGTGTGTATCTCATCCAATGCTTCTTGACTTTTTTTCTAGCTCGAAAGACAATCAAAGAATCTGCTGTAATCAATAGTGCGGTCAAAAATAGTCAAATTTTTCCGGTCATCCCTATCGTGATATAGTTTATTTTATTTTATATAAGCATATGTTAAAAGTTTAAGAGTGTATCGAAACATAAAATAGAAGGAGTTATTACTAACAATAAAATTCATCTCGCATCTAGGAGTGCTTATTTATATATTTTTAAAATTGTGAGAGCTTGTAAATTTTAAAACAAAATTGAGAAGC